ATAAATCTTGAAATCTTGTAAATCTTTTGACTTTAACGAATTCTTAAAATGACGTTAATATGAGTATACATTCAAACTGTTTGTTTTTTATTTTTTAAATCATACTTCAACTTCTGGTGCACTTGGCAGAGACTCGCATTCTCTTTTTCCTGTTTTGAATGAAAACATACCTCAAGACTGTACCATTCTCCTTTCTTTCTACTTTTTTTTTTACTCTGTCCTTCTCTACCCCTCTCCTCCGTCTGTCGTATATTCTCTGATTAACTTTTCTTTCTTTCTTCTTCTTCCTCCTTTTCCTCTTCAAGTTCCGTCTCTCTCTCTCTCTCTCTCTCTCTCTCTCTCTCTCTCTCTCTCTCTTTATCCCTTTTTGTAACCTTTGATGACACAGATGTGTGTTAATGTTTTTTTAATATTTGTAATATATTTAGATTTTGATGTAATATTTGAGTTTCAGTTTGTTTCATTAAAATGCATGTTTATGGTCGTACGTTTTAGTCATTCATATTTTGATCGTTGATTGTGTTGTACATTGACTTTGTAAATTGAATTAAAGCTTCCCAGCTGCATGGTCTTTTATTGCAATACACCGAATCGAATCAAATCAAATTAAATTTAATACCTCTATGACATGCAGTTATAACAAGTTTCAGGACTCATGACAAATTCGTTTGACAATAATGATTGCGCTTGGTTGAGTCCACTGCTCGCAGGCATTAGCTGAGAGCGATAGAATTGAACATTCTCACCATTAACGACGAATTATCATTATTCTTATTCTTATTTCTTTCACCGCCTTTACAATGCTATTTGAATGGGGAGAAAATCAAATGTAAGGCTTTCTGGGAACAGTTTCAATTGTTGTTAAACAATTTCAGTGGATTCCGCTGAGAAAGTTGACATTTTCTTGACTAACGACCTTGTATTATTATTATTATTTGTTCATCGTCTCTACAATGCTATTAATTTTGAACAATATTTGATGACAATAAACGGCAGTCCAATATTGAATTTGAACCCGGGCTATGCTCCCCCCTCCCCCCCCCCCCCCCTCTCTCTCTCTCTCTCTCTCTCTCTCTCTCTCTCTCTCTCTCTCTCTTGTCATTACCTATCTTTTCCCTCGTCGTTTACTTCCTTCTTACCACGAAGTATGTAATGTGTATGTATATGCCTCAACAGTGGCGTAGTGAGCAAAAACTTTTTTTTGGGGGGGGGGAGGGGGGGGGGGGGGGACTGACAAAAAAAATCCGCATCACCCCACTCTTATATGCAGGCCCCGCTGAACGTGTTTCAAAGTGGGGTCTAGGGGCAAAGCACCGGCGGGGGTCAAGGGGCGGAGCCCCCGAAGCTCAAGGGGTATGGGCATCAGTGGCGGATCCAGAAATTTCTTACGGGGGGGGGGGGCACAAAATGGCATGGGGTGAAATATAAACGATAAAGCGACAGAGCGAGGCTTTAGCGGCGAGGTAGCGGAGCGACCAAGCGGGGGTGAGTAGGAAGCATTTGTAATTTTAGAACCACATTAGACGCATTTTCAGGCACTTCCTGGAGTAAAATGACGTAAAATTGCTTTCTCCTACCCCCTCCAAGAGTAGTGATCTTTTGCAATTTGAGAACCACATTATTTTGGCACATCAATGTCCACCGGCATTTCCTGGAAAAAACGGGGCTTTCTGATTGGTTAGAAGTTAGAAAAAAGTGATCTGTCACGTCGTGAGACGTTGTATATGCTTCGTTGCTGCACAATGCACAAAGACGGTGGACCGGTACTTCACCAGTAGTAATTTCAAAAATTATCTCGAGTGTATAAACTGTGTTGTTATCAGGGGCGTCGATAGACCTTTTTTTGTTGGGCGAGGGGTCGGGGGGGGGGCGTGTAGAGGCCACCGATTACCGACAAAACGAGCCACCAATTACCGACAAATATATTACTGCCAATGTCCCAATGTCTACGAAATGTTTACGGAAGCTTTGACGTTTCATTTAATTATTAGAGAAAGAAGACGATTCATTGTACCGTTCTCAACTCTTAATGCATGTCTGAATTCAGTCCCCCCCCCCCTCCCGCGCGAAGCGCGAGAGCTTTGACGTTTTAATAAATCATTACTCTTAATCCTTGTCTGAACTATTTTTCGCCCATCCCGCGCGAAGCGCGGAAGCTTTCACGTTTCATTAAATTATTAGGGAAAGAAGATGATTCGTTGTATCACGTCCTTGTCCGAATTCAGTTGTAGCTCCGGGGAAGTATTTTTTTTTAATTTTATTTTTTTTTAATTTTTACTAATGTCACTGTTATAGTTGCCACTATAAGGCCCATTAGTGACTATAACAAACATATGCTCTTCCTGGCTATTTTGGAATGATTGTGTCAGTTTGCAACAGAAATGGAGAAACGCGCATTTTGTTGAAAATCATGTGATATCACGAACATACATCACTTGTATGGAATTGAAAATAAGTCATGGTTTAATTTTAGCGTTAGTCAAGCCCCACCCCCGGCCCCACCCCCATCAGTACGCCAGTGTGCCTCAATAACAGAGAACATAATCATTAATATCGCGGAAATTATTCTTCTCCTTCCCCTTCCCCCAGTAGTATCATAATAATCATTATTATTATCATTATTATATTTTGTTGTTGCTATGATAGTTATATCGTAATTATTATCATTATTGATATTATTATTTATATTGTTATTCTTATAATTATGTGTTATTCTTATTCATATTCTTATTAACTTAATTATCTTTTGCAATACGTCATCATTATGCTCAGGAGTTATTGCTATAAATACAACCAAGATATCTACCAAAACTCTCAATTCGTTGCTGAAATATTATCAAGAGGAAAGAAGAAACATTAGAGTAGATATTTTAAATTACAAAAAATAGATAAAGAAGAAATAAGTAGAGAATACAATCATGACAATATGTCATAATTTAATGTCTTTAAGTTTACCTTTATTTACATCTAGCTCGAGCTTGGCTTGGGTATCTCGGAGTATTGCACGGCCGACCGCGGGCCTTGACCTATATACGGATAAGTGAGTGCCCTGGGTCCACTTCTAATTCGTATTTTTAGCCCTCCTTTCTTCCCTTTTCCTTCTCCATTCCCTTTCCCCTTTTTTAAGAGGGGGGGGGGGGGCTGCCGGGCCCGTCCACCCCCCCCCCCGTCCATCCGCGCCTGCATTACAGAGAGAGGAAAAGATAAAGGGAGCGAAGGCGAAGAGAGAGAGAGAGAGAGAGAGAGGGGGGAGAGTCCTATAACGAGAAAATCGTTTCAATCTATGTGATTTCAGGAAGTCTTTGTTTCTTTGTTTAACCTGACTGCCGAAGAAAGCGTATTTTGGTTGATTGGTAGTAAGCAACCAAAGGATCGGCTGTTGCATAGGTCCTCTCCGAGTGACTAATTGGTATAGGAGCATTAATGCCTTACTGAAGGGCACTATAGTGCTTCGACCCGGGACCTCCCGGTCACGAAACTACTACCCTATACCACTAAGCCATCGCGCTTTCTCTATCAAGACAAAGAACACCAAACAGTATCTTAGAAATTAAGTACATTATATTGTTTCTCATGATTTATTATTAATATAACCATACGTGATTTTCACAGGTGATGATGATGGAACAGCATTGCGATTTCATGGGGAAAGATTTATGATTACTAGAATATATTTTGACAAAGATGAAGAAGACAGGAATTACAGCGAGACAACATGAATAACTTCAGAAAAATATCAACGTCAACATCGGAAATGATGTCAGATTAGGCCCGACTGAGAAATTATGTACCACTGACTTTATATCATGCATTTTTTCAGAAAGATATTATAAACAGCCAGGTGGAAGAACAACGGGTATAAAGGCATACATAAATAACACACACACTGCGGGCTGTAGTTTTTTTTATGATGATAACAAATCACAAGATTCGCATATCACAGGAACTAGATACTTGGTAAAACAAACACAGGAAAGGGTACTTTCTATATGATAACAGCAATAGAAACTGTATACCCGTTTTATGTTTCTCCTGGCCGTTAGGTATATCTTTCTGAAAAATGTCATTTTCGAGTCTATGTTCTCTCTTGCCCACTCTCTGCATATCTTCTTCTCATCTCGCTCTCTCTCTTTCGTTCTTGCACTTCCTTGTCCTTCTCTCATCCCCTTTCTCTATTTACTTTTTCATGTGTAAGCTGTATTTTTGCCAAACACCTAATATTGGGGTTGTATTGTATTTTCCCCGGCCCTCGATTTTTAGAGGGTAAATTAGTAACTTATAATATTCTTGTTTAATTGTAGGGATTGTTAACTTTTCATTATTTTTTTCCCAACTCATTTAAAAACGAAGTTATTACTTGTATTTATTGCCAATTTAGAGGTTTATAATTTTATATTATTGTATTTTTTTTTTTTTTTTTACTTGTATTTGTATTTTATGTGGTTTTAGTGAGTAAATAAATTGAATTTAAAAGTTGAATTAAGGTAATAAACATTGCCTTCTTGTATGTTGGAATCATAAATTTCGTTTGGTATGAAGATAGCTTAATAAGTTATAATAATTACATATGTATTGAAAAAACCAAAAGGTTGTTATCAAATTGATTGGAACAAACCCATCAGCTGAAGGGCTGAACCACGACTCCACGATTAAAGGTCAATGCTCATCGATAAACATACATTCTCGTAGCGCGAACCTACTGAAAAGAGATTTAATCAATGAATTACCCAGTGAGTTATTCATTGCCGATTCTCCTTCATTTAAAGTTAAGGCCGAACAATCAGAAAGATACTGTGTATACGTATTTCTGAAAATGGGAATCAACGAATATTAGGGCCTATATTACGGATTCAAAAACACATTTATGCTACGTAGTGCACGATCATCATTGTACACTATATAAAATACATCACCTTCTCATGCACTGTGTACACCAAAATCTACTCACACTAGTAACCCGGACAGTCCCTATTTGAACCCCCCCCCCCCCCCCCCTTGGCTCCTGTGTATATAGGTTATGGTTTGTGCAAATAAATGCGGTCTTGACGTGAGGTTTCTCAACAAGGAAGTAAATGTACCTAATTTATTCATAATGCGTTTTCTTAAGAAAGAAGAAGGATATGAGTTGCCTATCGGTGTTATGAGCTACAGTCTAATAGGACATATCGGTGACCCAGGTGAATGAACAGGATGGACAAGTTTTATGCCGTGCTGTTTCTGCAGTTTCTGCTCTGTTTCCCACGCTTCATGAACGGTAAGTGGAAGAAAAGCTTGGCATCGAATCGCAGTGAGAGTGACTGCCAGTAGTAGTGGCGGTGTAAAATGTAAGCAAAGGCTATTCCGGAATTCCGTTCAGTCACGCTCTGTGTTTTTCTTTCTAGACAGTGTTGTAAAGTTTGCTGATAACCTCCGTAATATACTCGCAGTGATAATTGATAGTGTCAGATATTAATGTGGTGCTTAACTTTACAATACCCCACCAAAGTAGTGGTCTACATTGTATATTTAGAAGTGGACTGACCGAGTTCTTGTTGAGTCTTTTTACTTGCGCTAGTAGCACACTGTACGATAGAACGCCAACGGTGGTCTGAAAGAAGATGAAGAAGAAGAAGAAGAAGAAGAAGAAGAAGAAGAAGAAGAAGAAGAAGAAGAAGAAGAAGAAGAAGAAGAAGAAGAAGAAGAAGAAGAAGAAGAAGAAGAAGGAGGAGGAGGAGAAAAAAGAGGAGGAAAAAGAAGAAGAAGAAGAAGAAGAAGGAGGAGGAGGAGGAGGAGGAGGAGGAGAAAAAAGAGGAGGAAAAAGAGGAGGAGGAGGAGGAAAGTAAATGTAAAGACTACAAATTTCATTTACCTTTTGACAGACAATAAACATGAACATCATAACCTTATGCTATGTTAGCCATCCAGAAAGTAGTGCTCAGTCTAAATTTTCTAGGGGTATTACAGGTGTGTTATTATCATTTTGTATATCAACCATACCTATTTAAAATTGACCATTGTTTAAAAATTACACTGCTTGTGGGTGGTCAATATCAGTGAGGGTTCTGCTACAACTCACTCATTCAGAATATGTTCAACATTCTGAATTTGACCACTTGGACACAGGTCAGAGTCTAACAGACTCCAGAGATCCATGCTTGCTGGAAAGTGACCTACAGTACCCCTGACCATAGGCAGTTTCTAAACCCAGGGGCTCCGAACTCTGTTTCGTTGACGATCAGACATAGACGAAAGACTTCATGCATGGCTGATTGTCAATGAAACAGAGTTCAGTCTTTTGTCAATTCTACTTGTTGCTACAGCAGCGGCCAGTGAAAACAAACATTGTAAATCAAATTATGGAAATGCAAGCATCATTTTAGACAAACAGAACTTTGTCATTCCTTGCTCATTTTTCCTGATTGAAGTGTCGTAGGTAAGGGCAGAAACTGATCTTTTCTGGAAATGTGAATTTTTCTTTGAAATTCAGATACCGCCCGCCAAATGACTTTTTGGTTTCCTTCCTTCAAATAATTTTTTATCACTCATGCGTGAAATATGCATCATATGAGTTGTATCAAATGAAAGAGGAGGACCTAAGCTTTACAAATATGTGTCATTTATTGATTATAATTGTGATTAAGTTATGATAAAACATCAATAATTTTTGGTTTCGTTTTTTCTGGGTCGCACTGAATAGTGATTTTTCAAGCTCCTTTACTGCAATTGGAATCTGATTTAATATTCTGGCCCAGGTTTTCACACGCTGATATGTGTTTGTTCTTTGGTATCATTACAATTGCTTCATTGCTTCCCTACTGCTATTAAATTCAAGAGGTTATTATTAAAGTCTGAATGAGATTTTTCCCCTTCTTTGTTGAATGCAAATTACTCAAGCTTGCCATTGAAAACCAGCTTTGTCAATGAAATAAAATCTGCCTTCAATTCTCTCTTTGTTATCATCACAATCATGCCATTTAGACCTTTGTAAAAGGAATAAATTGTTCAGGTTCAAATGGTGTTCCTTCAGCGCATTTGATAAGACAGAGAATCATGATATCGCAACTACTTTAAAAAAAATCAACCTTCATTGTGTATGGCAATGTCTTTACCCTTGTGCCTCATTTATTTAGCTTTGGAAAAGCTCATTTATTGATCTGATAAACTAGTAAAGAGAGAGAGAGAGAGAGAGAGAGAGAGAGAGGGAAGAGACTCAAGAGAGAGAGAGAGAGAGAGAGAGGGAAGATAGAGAGAGAGAGAGAGGGAAGAGAGAGAGAGAGAAACGAAGAAATAGAGAAAAAAAGGGGGGGTGGGGAGGAAGAGATTAATATGCAAAGATACAAAGAAAGGTGTAGAGAGATAGAAGAGAGAAAGAAAGAGAGAGAGGGTGATACTGCTTTCTAACTGGCTTCTATCGGAGTCACACCGAAGAAAATACCGATTGAATTTTCCTTAAATGTAAACAAAGGTGAAACCGCAGTTTTCCCCCTGTCGCTTTCTAACTGCCGGTGAAATTCACTCGCTGTGGCGAGCCCTTGCCGGAAGTGAAGAATTATTGCGCAATTATTAAGCCCGCGCCCCATGTAGCTAGCATGCAGCATGTTCAACCATAAGTCAACAAACACAGCTGGTTACGATAAAGCGCGCGTATACTGCGACCATTGACCATTTTAATCGCTGTTTTAATCGCCTTTTTCTCCCGAACGTTTTCTAACTGCACGTTTCATCGGTGTCACACCGATAGAATGAGAATATAATCGCCTATTTCTCTTCTTTTCATCGGCTATTTAATCGCCTTTTTCTCCTCTGTTGCTTTCTAACTGCCACTTTCATCGGATGCGTCCGGATGCATCCGATGAAAATCGGTGCAGTTAGAAAAGGGTATAAGAGAGAGAGAGAGGGAGGGAGGGAGAGAAGGGGGAGAAAGAGAGAGAGAGAAAGGGGAAAAAGGGAAATTGAGAGAGAGAGGGGGGGGGGGGGGGGGGAGAGAGAAAAAAGGAGAAATTGGGAGAGAAATATAGAGAGAGAGAGAGAGGGGGATCGAGGAAAGAGTGTGTGTGCGAGAGAGAGAGAGAGAGAGAGAGAGAGAGAGAAACTAAGGTATTCTGCTATTCTTACATTTCCAGGAATCTTGGAAATCCAGATTTGAGCTTTTGTGAAAAAATGATTTTCACAATTATTGTGATCCCAAATTCCCAAAGTGTTGATTTATTGTAAAATCAGTGTTTATTCTCATTTGATAGAGTTATTTAGTCATCAGTTTTCACCTACATCTAATTATAGACTCCCCCCTCCCCCTCCAAGGAAAAAAAAAGGGGGTCAGGACTCAGACAAATTGAAATTGATTCCTGGTCTCTGATACAGATTATTTTACATGATGCCGGGGGAGGATCTGTAGTATTGGATATTTGAGATTTTTCTAAGATGGCTGTGAAAAAGATACTATAAAACATAAACAGGGAAGTGCAACCCAATATTACATATAAGTTATGATGATATTTAAGAAAATACAGTGTGTTAAAGTGTAAGAAAATCTGATGAGATAAGAAGGTCAATAAAGGTTAAGGAAGTTAGGATTTTTAAACATGATCTATAAAACAAGTTTGATTCGGCATGGGGTGCATGTTTTTACATGTCTTAATTCAATCTTAAAGGGATCCGGTAACTTTGTCTTAGATCCTTTAGAAATAATCCTTGATTTAGCTCATGCTGCAATGATAATTATGAACCTTTAGGTCAGTCTGAAACTCCATGACTTTTACAAGCCGATCGCCTGTCTGATTATCAAGATATTAATGATTGGAATTACAAATTTTGAAAACCGTTCGCTGAACGGTTTTCATAACACTACAGTCTATGGGGAAAAACGAGTATGGTAAAACCGGTCACTCAAAGATTTTTACTGTTTTGAGGCACTTCTTGATTAATATTGAAGCGCGATCTTTTTAGGGCCTCAATATTACACCATAATTATCACAGACACTGGTAACATGTAGGACCGCGTGTATCTCAGATTTAACATTGTAAAACGATCCCTTTAAAGGGGAAATGCAGTTGTCAATTTGTGTTAAATTGATTGCACCTTAAACAATTCATAATTTTCCTATTTTTAATCGGCTATTGCTCAAACTTTCACTTATTTGTTTCTCTCATTTCCCCCGCTTATTAAAATCAACGTACACTGTACATGTAATATCAGGGTGGCCCTTCCCTTTAGTAGCAGGCTGCTCTAGAGGTGTCGTGGTCAATGGATATGTCACTGGACTTTGGATCACAAGGTCCGAGTTCAAGTCCCGCCGCGGCACTTTATGTCCTTTGGCAAGACATTGTTCTACATTTGCCACTCTCCACCCAGGTGTTAAATGGGTACCCACTAGAATGCGAAAGTAACTGTGGTTGGATTAGCAAGTGGCGCTTGTGAAATGGCGACTGGCTGGAAAGCTCCCAAGGGAGTGGGAAAAGTGCATAAATCGTGTTGCGGGTAAGCCTGATCCGATGACCGGGGAAATAATATGTGCTGCGCCTAGAAACAAAGTATTAGGCGCATTATAAATGTGATTAATTATTATTATTATTAAATACCAAAAGAGCATATTGGTAAAATTTTGAAGAAAATTGGACAAATTGGAAATGTATTAATTTTTTTAAATTGTATTCATCACCCACGTACTGTATGGGAATTTAGGAATTGCCAAATTGTTTATGATATTTGTGTGGTCTAGTGCTTGAAAACAGAAAACTCTACCATTTGTTTAAAAAAACATGATGATTGAAATAGACTAAATATTCCATAAAAAGTTCAAATTAAAATATCCCATATTAATTAATAGCTAATCAGTGATAAAAACAGCACAGAATTAAAAAAAAAATTGTTGTGTACCAACTACCATAGACATTGTGTTGCTCAAAGCAATCTTTCCGTCAATTGATGCCTATTGTTTTGTGCAAAATAGCACGTGTGGAAAACTATTGACCACGCAGAGAGGTGAAGAACGCAACCAAAGAGTTAAAGATTAGAGAGGCATTTATTGAGGCATGTATTCACAGAAATAAAGGGGGTGGGGGAGAATGAGAATATGCTGTAACAATTGTAAAAAGGACTGAAATTCATTGAAACTGATTTGCTCATTCATCTTGCTGTCATATGTCAGAGGTGGTAGCAATCATATTTTATTACAGTGATTAATTCTCATAGGTTTGGGTAAAGTCTTACATTTCTGATCTTTGTTCTTTTCCTGTTTGGTAAAAGCGCTACGGTGTGTTGTACATTGTAAAGCCTACTCACTGTACATGCAAACAATTTTGTGTATTTGATCTGAGACTGAACTGTATTTGTGGAAGAAAATAATATGAAGTTTGAAATTAAAGGGAAACACCAATCTCATGCAAAAATGTACATGTCATGCAAGGGATACTGATTTCTACCTGTCAAAACTTTTGCCATATACTTATACAAGCGCGTAGCTAGGATTTTATTTTAGGGAGGCGGTAGTGAGCACGTGAAGCCTGGGAATCACTTACAGATTTCGTGCTCCCTAGGGGGGGTGGGTGAAGTGCGGAAGCTTTGACGTTTCATTAAATTATTAGAGAAAGAAGACGATTGTTGTACCGTTTTTGACTCTTAATCTTTGTCTTAATTCAGTCCCCCCCCCCCCCTCTCCGCGCGAAGCTTTGATGTTTCATTAAATTATTAGAGAAAGAAGACTATTCGTTGTACCGTTCTCAACTCTTAATTCTTAATTCTTGTCTGAATTTTCAAAAATGTTTATTTGTCTGCTCCTTTTTCTTCCTACGTCTTTTTACTTTTTTCTCTTCTCTCTCTCTCTTTTTTGGGCGGCGTTTTTGTTGTTGTTGTTGTTTTTTTTTTTGTTTTTGTTAGGTGGGGGGGGGGGCGACTGCACCCACCCCCCCCCCCCCCCGCCCCCCCTGACTATGCCCATAATATTATATCAAGTCTTTTACTAATTTTGTAGGTGAAGGCTGCTATGTTTTAGTTGGACGTTGTCTAGTTAATGGTATAATTTTGGAGTACTGTAGAATGATATGTTTAGTTATATGTCAGTGTGTTTTAGTAGAAAGCCTTCTTTTCATTGGACTATTTCTATACTTTATTTTTTGTCTTATTCACTAAAGTGTTTATAAACTACATGCATAGGGGTAATTAGTTCTGATATGGATATTTGTTAAAGGTAATACAAAGTTTTGGGAAATTTTGAAAATTGGCTGGATAGTAATTCTTTACAATTTTGATATATTTAGATGCCCCTGTGGATATATTATAAGCACTAGAAAATTTAGCCCCTAAAACACTTCTGCTTTCGAGAAAAATTTCAAATAGCGCCTACGGCCGTACAATGGTAGCTACGACCCTGAAAATCTCAGAATATGTAGTTGTGATATACCTAATGGGAATAGCTAATTGGTAGATTTTTGTCAAGACTCATTGTTTTATAACTTAATTAATATCTTGACCTTGAGAGGGAGCTATACAACATAAATAGTTTATAATTTACAATTTTATAATTTTAGACTCGAATTCAACCGTGACAACGATCACTGAATATTGTAGGATCAAATATGCTTCCAATATGTTCATTAGAACCAAATTCATGACCCCATACCAAAACTTTGTATTACCTTTAAGTTGCATAAAGTTCCTGATCAACAAAGGGTTAGGAATAGTGTACAAATGTACCTACATGTACATACATTCCTAAGACTAAACTAGTCTGTAAGCACAAACCCTGGTCAGTCGTAAAAGAGAGTCTGCACTATAAGATTACCATAGGCCATGTACTATAGCTGCTCTATATTGACGCTTCTTCTTCTTCTTCTTGATTTGTTTTTGTTTGGCAATCAGTCACAGTTGACTATTTTTGCCACACACTATTTTATGAATTATTTATATATATACATATATGTACAATTTCATGTCATAAATGACTATTTTTAGGATTCTTTCTCTTTCCATCCTCTTTCCTTCCTCTTTTTTTCTTTTTAGACTCTATAACTTTTTTTTAGAGAGAAAATTCAATAAATTAATAATTTTGGAAAGAGACGACGGCCTAGCAAGTTGTGAATGAAAAACGCCTATAAACTAAAACTAAACGTACGTACTTGTGTTTACGCGCACGTGCGCGTTCAAATATCACCTCACGTATGCACATGTGTACTTCGCACTTACCCCCACCCTTTTTAAAATGCCATCTTACCAGTCTTTGAGGTATATTTCGCAGACTTTCGGTTTTAACCTAGGTAGCTAGGCTTCTCTTAAGGCACAATGATTTTTTGATAAAGTGTCAAATTAGGGTCTCTGCTTGCAGACTAAGACTAAACTTGTTGTATTAACAAGTGTAATATCTCAATGGCAGTTATGTAATTTTCCAGCTCTCTAAGTACTAATGATGTGGTTCTACCGTTCTACAACTCTGCACACAAATTATGATTTTCACTAATTATGTCTATTTGCATTCTGGATGCATCATAAATGCAGCAGTAAGCTTCTAATTTTAATCATAAATTGAGTCGATCAAATCCATGTGTCTTAATGTGTGAAGGGGGAGATGAACATGTACTGTACTCTAAAGTTGATGTATCCAGCAACAATGAATTTCTGTGTATTTTTTATGTTGTAGGTGAGGTTGTTCATATCACTGTGCTGACCATAGGATACACAAATGTAGGTTCATCTAGTGGTCAGTATCAATGTTACCCCAGTGTACCAGATGCAGACGCTACACTATCATTTGGTCGATCGGCACCCATAACAACAGACAGATCACCACCAGCAGATGTAGGACACTCATTGCCAAACGTCAGACGGGTCATATTCCCTACAGGAGATGGATGGAATAATGATGGTTTCGGTCCTTTCTACTGTGAGGCTTCTAAACCTGATCGAGATGTTACAAGTGTTACTACATTTTTCCAACGAAATGATGGTAAGATTATTATTGTTAGATAAGTATAAGATTTCCTTAATTTTATTCTGCAATGTATACAAGGTACTAAGAATTAGCTTTCTGTTGTGAAGTAGTCAAAACAAAGTTCTGACTTTATGAGCATTCCATGTGAGGTCATGATGATGTCAATTTAAGTATTGATAGTATTAAAGGTTAAGCCCACTCCAAAAATAATTTGCTTTTAATAAATGCAGAAAAAACAAGAGAAACTGAGAAAAACAAATTTGTGTAAAATCAGATAACTAATAAGGAAGTTATGATTTTTTTAAAAAGTATGAAAAATCATGGAACTTAGAAAATCAATTTGTGACGTCATTGCCACACTATTTTTCAATTGCTTTATATATTTTGAAATTTGAAAAATTATTCAATTTTTTTTTACTACCATTTACACTACTGGAAAAACCTTTAAAAACCCGTTGAAGTTTAACCATACCGATGCTGTTTGTGAGTAGTGCGCATGTGTGACTTGTCGGTGCTCTACATGCGTTACCATGGACGTTTCAATGGAGTCGGGCTAACTCGGCCCACGGGACTACTCGGCCCAGCTAGAAAAACTGGGCCGAGATGTCCCGACCTGATTAATCGATCGAGAGATACCAATGTGTATATGTTTGTGCTCTTTGTGACTTAATAATGCCCTTTCCAACCAAAATCTTTAATGGAATTGTGTTAAATGATACCAATGCAGACAATTTATAACTTATCTTTAGGTAAAATGACAAAAAAAATGACATTTCGGACAATTTACTCACAGCTCGCAATCCGCATTGCCGCACGTACATTAAATGTGCGTTGTATCTACTCGGACCACTGAAATTCGAGCAGTGTTTTTGTCGGTAAATCACTGCAAAAATATCATTTTTATCTCGTATGAAGGTCTATTTTTTATTCCTGACACAGATTTCATTATTGAGTAGTCGAATATAGTACATTTTAGACGAGATGGTTGATGTTTGTTCACATTCTTTCGTCCTGGCCGTAAATTAGCAGACTACTGCCTAGTGCTACCGCAGCAGCTCAGCTCAGTGTGCAGCTAGCCGTACAGCGCCGCCGGCCGGGTCGGCGGGGGAATTCACTGACTCGGTGCCCGTACCGGGCCGCTGCACTGCATTGCATGATTGTACTGCATTCGATCGAGTGATGTGAGTATAACTAATCAAACTAGATCTATATCTACTGTATTATCATCATTCATTCCGAGTAGAATATCCAATTTGATTTAGTGAGTAAACTAGACCTAGATCTATATCTACTGTAGCTACATGTACATCATTATCATAGATTAGTCATTCAGAGTAGAATATTCGATTAATGAAGGAATGGAATTTTTCTTTTTCATAATCAGATAATCATATTTTACTCCTAAAAGTTAAAGACTTGATAAAATAGCTAGATCTAACGTAAGGGCCTAGCCTAGTACTGTAAGAGAAGTGAGCTGAAGAATCGCCTTCTTTTATGTTGGAGGGGCAGGCGCGTAGCCAGGGGGGGGGGGGCAGTGGGGGCGGTCGCCCCCCCCCCCAAAAAAAAAAAAAAGAAAAAAGAAAAAAGGAAGAGGACGTAGGAAGAAAAAGGATTAAGAGTCGAGAACGGTACAACGAAACGTCTTCTTTCTCTAATTATTTAATGAAACATCAAAGCTTCCGCGCTTCGCGCGTGAAGGGGGGACAGAACTGAATTCAGGTAAGGATAAAGAGTCGAGAACGGTACAACGAATTGTCTTCTTTCTCTAATAATTTATAAAGCGTCAATGCTTCCACGCTTCGCGCGGGAGCGGGACACTCAATTCAGACAAGGATCTAGAGTCGAGAACGGTAAAACGAATCGTCTTCTTTCTCTGATTATTTAATGAAACATCAAAGCTTCCGAGCTTTGCGCGGGAAGGGGGGATGGAACCGAATTCAGGTAAGGATAAAGAGTCGAGTACGGTACAACGAATTGTCTTCTTTCTCTAATAATTTATAAAACGTCAATGCTTCCACGCTTCGCGCGGGAGTGGGACACTCAATTCAGACAAGGATTAAGAGTCGATAATGGTACAACGAATCGTCTTCTTTCTTTGATGAGAGGGATGGAGACGAGAGGGATTGGTGAGGGATGGAGATGATGAGAGGGAAGGAGACAATGTTGATGATGTAAGGGATGAAGACGCTGTTGATGAGAGGGATTGGTGAGGAATGGAGATGATGAGAGGGATGGAGATGATGAGAGGGATGGAGACAATGTGAGAGATGGAGGTGATGAGAGGGATTGGTGAGGGATGGAGATGATGAGAGGGATGGAGACAATGAGAGGGATGAAGATGATGAGAGGGATTGGTGAGGGATGGAGATGATGAGAGGGATAGAGACAACGGGAGGGATGGAGACTATGAGAGGGATGGAGATGATGAGAGGGATGGAGACAATGGGAGGGATGGAGATGATGAGAGGGATGGAGACGATGAGAGGGATTGGTGAGGGATGGAGATGATGAGAGGGATGGAGATGATGGAGACAATGAGAGGGATTGGTGAGGGATGGAGATGATGAGAGGGATGGAGGCAACGGGAGGGATGGAGACAATGAGAGGGATGGAGACGATGAGAGGGATTGGTGAGGGATGGAGATGATGAGAGGGATGTAGACAACGGGAGGGATGGAGACAATGAGAGGGATGGAGATGATGAGAGGGATGGAGACGATGAGAGGGATTGGTGAGGGATGGAGATGGTGAAAGGGATGGAGACGATGAGAGGGATGGAGACAATGGGAGGGATGGAGATGATGAGAGGGATGGAGACGGTGAGAGGGATGGAGATGATGAGAGGGATGAAGATGATGAGAGGGATGGAGATGATGAGAGGGATGGAGATGGTGAGAGGGATGGAGATGAGAGGGATGGAGATGATGAGAGGGATGGAGATGATGGGAGGGATGGAGATGATGAGAGGGATGGAGATGATGAGAGGGATGGAGATGATGAGAGGGATGGAGAGGATGAGAGGGATGGAGACAATGGGAGGGATGGAGATGATGAGAGGGATGGAGATGAGAGGGATGGAGATGATGAGAGGGATGGAGATGATGGGAGGGATGGAGATGATGAGAGGGATGGAGATGATGAGAGGGATTGGTGAGGGATGGAGGTGATGGGAGGGAAGGAGACAATGTTGATGATGTAAGGGATGAAGACGCTGTTGATGAGAGGTATTGGTGAGGGATGGAGACGGTGTGAGGAATGAAGATGATGAGAGGGATGGAGATGATGAGAGGGATGGAGACGGTGTGAGGAATGACGACGGTGTAAGGGATGGAGACAGTGTGAGGGATGAAGATGATGGGAGGGATGGAGATGATGGGAGGGATGGAGATGGTGACAAGATGGTGAGAGGGATGGAGACGATGAGAGGGATGGAGACGGGAGGGATGGAGACGTCTCCATCCCTCTAATCATCAATATCGTCTTCATCCCTTACATCATCAAAATTGTCTCCATCCCTCTTCTCCAATTCTCCATCCCTCTCATCATCTCCATCCCTCACATTTACTCCATCCCTTTCATTATCAATATCGTCTCCATTCCTCTCATCATCTCCATCCCTCACCAATCCCTCTCATCATCTCCATCCCTTACATCATCAACATTGTCTCCATTATGTATTATGCCACGTTGTGGAAATGCAATTTTATTTTTTAAATTCATTATTTATTTATAGTATGTACATATTTACAGGTACACAAGATCAGATATAAATCTGTTAACCCCCAGCCCCCCCCCCAAAAAAAATTGTAACATGCAGATGACATGCCACACCATTCCTTGTGTTGTGGTATTGGTACGTATTATTTCATATGCAATTTACAAGGCAAAAAAAAATCTAAATAAATAAAGTTAAAACAATTAAATAGAAATGAGGACATGTTTGAAAAACACACATAATAGCAATAAACATTATTTGTTTACGACTCCAAGATACAAATTCCAACAATATGACGTCAAGCTGACTCAAAATAACAAATGATAAGCAGGTGTAATCGTGTATTAATTTTATGCCACGTTGTGGTAATGCAATTTTTTTTTTTTTTTTATTATTTATTTATATTATACATATTTATACAGGTACACAAGATCAGATATAAATCCGTTAACCCCCAGCCCCCCCCCAAAAAAAAAAAAAAAAAAAAATCAAAAAAATTGTAACATGCAGAGACCAGTACAGATGACACGCCACACCATTCCTTGTGTTGTGGTATTGGTACGTATTATTTCATATATGCAAGTTACAAGGCAAAAAAAAACCTAAATAAATAAACAAAGTTAAAACAATTAAATAAAATGGAGGACATGTTTGAAAAACACACATAATAACAATAAACATTATTTGTTTACGATTCCAAGATACAAATTCCAACAATATGACGTCAAGCAGACTCATAATAACAAATGATAAGCAGGTGTAATCGTGTATTAATTTTATGCCACGTTGTGGTAATGCAAATTTGTTTTTTTTATTTATTATTTATTTATAGTATACATATTTATACAGGTACACAATATATCAGATATAAATCTGTTAACCCCCAGCCCCCCCCCCCCAAAAAAAAAATAATATAAAAATTGATTTTGCTCATAGATCTTTGCCTCTGTTGCTGATTACATACCCAACCGAGATGGATGGGAGGTGGGGGGGGGGGGGGGGGGCAGCTGCCTTTTAGAAATTTGAGGAACGGTTAAATTAATGACCAGTTGACCAAAGGTCCAGGAGAAGGCTTACAAGAATTAAGATCCCCTGCCCAGGGGCGGCCGAGCGACTTCCAAAGTGGGGGGCACCAACAAAAAAGGGCACTTTCTGGAGAAAAAAAAGGGCACCTACAGTGGGAAATCTCAAAGCGAAAATATACAAGTTTTTAGACATTGGTATAAACCCCTACATTGTGATTACATTATCAGGGATGATTTCAAATTTGTTTCTCTTCATACATCATACAAGATATCGCTTAAGCATCATACTTTACAGTTGGGTGTGATGTCTGAATATGCATTTACGAGCGAGCGAAGCGAGCGTGAAAAATTTCAAAGATCTATGAGGTCGCAGTGCGAAAAATTACATCTTATAAAGAGGAAAAAAGCCAATCGTGATGGGGTTATAAGCACATTCTCATAACGGAAGACTGAAAAGACCTTTGATAAGTAACATAATTATATCATCTTTAAATGCGAGCGGGCGCAGCGAGCGAACTTTGGGGGAAATTGCTCTTAGTCGCCTTAAATAAGGGGCACGTTTAATGAATACATGAAAAGGGGACAATTATCGAAAGGGATAAGACACTTATAAGAAAAGAAAAGGAGCACGTGTCAAAGTACAAAGGATTATTATAAGAGGTGAAAATGAGGCATTTTTTCACCTGAAAAGAGGCACTCACCAGTGATGACAGAGGCGTTTACGAAAATGGGAAATAGGCATTTGTTGACGGAAAAGGGGCACCCATCAGATTTTGATAGGGGCATTTATAAGAGGTGAAAAGGGGATAGTTCCCTTATTAGAAAGGAAAAGGGGCGCGTATCATTATTAAAAGGGGAATTTTCAGAATTGAAAAGGGGCATTGACCAGATATGAAAAGGGGCACTTATAATAAAGGAAAATGTGCATTTGTTGAATGAAAAGGGGGCACCGTTCGGATTTTTAAAAGGGGCAGTTATGAGAAGGGGAAGGAACTTTTTCTTTTTAATGGGGGAACTTATAAGGAAAAGGGGCACATGTTAAAATGAAAGGTGTGCTCATCCGAGTTTAAAAAAGGGGGATAGTTATTAAAAGGAGAAGGGGCACTTCTTACAAAGGAAAAAAGAGGAAGTTGTCACAGTAAAAGGAGCACCTCTCAGTTTTGAATAGGGCAATTATCAGAGGTAAAGGGGGCACTTATTAAAAGTGAAAAGGGGCACTTCTGAAACCTGAAAAGAGGCACTTACTAGAGATTAAAAAGGGCACTTATTCAAGATTATTTCAAGATTCATGAGAATGGAAAATGGACACTTATTGCAAAGGAAAATGGGAACATGTCGAAGGAAAAGGGGCACGTGTCAAAAATAAAAAAGGGCACTCGTCAGAGGTGAAAAGGGGGAAGGGGCACTTTTACTAAGTAATAGGGGCACTTGTCAAATGAAAAGGGGCACCTTTCCTTTTTAAAAGGGGGCACTTTTGGGGTATCTGAAAAAGTGGGGGCACTGTGCCCCTCCCCCCCGGGAGGGCCGCCTCTGCCCCTGCCCCTCCATGCACCGGCACATCATTGCAATATCATGTCTTAATTGCTTTGCTTTGTATATATCTCTTTGATTCCCAGAAAAAGGGAACAAAAAGGAGATTTTTTGTTTGTTTAGGGGGGTGGTGGGGGCTGCAATATTTATACAAAAAACTTGAAGCCAATACCTTCTTTTCGTAGAATTTTTTTGAAGCAGCCCCCTCCAAAAAAATAAGAAGGCGATTCTTCAGCTCACTTCTCTTACAGTACTAGGCTAGGCCCTTACGTTAGATCTAGCTATTTTATCAAGTCTTTAACTTTTAGGAGTAAAATATGATTATCCGATTATGAAAAAAGAAAAATTCCATTCCTTCATTAATCGAATATTCTACTCTGAATGACTAATCTAGTATATGATAATGATGTAGCTACAGTAGATATAGATCTAGGTCTAGTTTACTCACTAAATCAAATTGGATATTCTACTCGGAATGAATAATGATAATACAGTAGATATAGATCTAGTTTGATTAGTTATACTCGCATCACTCGATCGAATGCAGTACAATCATGCAATGCAGTGCAGCGGCCCGGTACGGGCGCCGAGTCAGTGAATTCCCCCGCCGACCCGGCCGGCGGCGCTGTACGGCTAGCTGCACACTGAGCTGAGCTGCTGCGGTAGCACTAGGCAGTAGTCTGCTAATTTATGGCCAGGACGAAAGAATGTGAACAAACATCAACCATCTCGTCTAAAATGTACTATATTCGACTTCTCAATAATGAAATCTGTGTCAGGAATAAAAAATAGACCTTCATACGAGATAAAAATGATATTTTTGCAGTAATTTACCAACAAAAACACTGCATGAATTTCAGTGGTCCGAGTAGATACAACGCACATTTAATGTACGTGCGGCAATGCGGATTGCGAGCTGTGAGTAAATTGTCCGAAATGTCATTTTTTTTGTCATTTGACCGAAAGATAAGTCATAGATTGTCTTCATTAGTATCATTTAACACAATTCCATTAAAGATTTAGGTTGGAAAGGGCATTATTAAGTCACAAAGAGCACAAACATATACACATTGGTATCTCTCGATCGATTAATCAGGTCGGGACATCTCGGCCCAGTTTTTCCAGCTGGGCCGAGTAGTCCCGTGGGCCAAGTTAGCCCGGATTCGTTTCAATATGTACATGTATGCAAGCCTTATATAAATGTATTGTTTCCTTTAGTGAGTAAATGGCTACAGTGCACATGCCATGTTTGTAGGTGCTACATGTAATGTCTTCAAGGTATTTTTTTTTATTATGGTTAATTTTTCATTATCGTCCCTTTTAACAGCTAAATTCATATCAAGTGATGGATCGTTTACAAAGACAGTCAATGTGAATGAGACCGGAGTGATGATCAGCATGACTAGTCGTTATGGTCCTGATGTGAGTGACAACGTGATTACTTGGAGGAAAGATGGAAGTGAGGTTCTACCATCATTTGGTGGGCAGACTCAGATCGGCTTCCCAAACCCAATCCAGACATCAGACCAAGGAATCTACGAGATTTACTATGATAACGAGAGGAATCAAAATAATGGAGGACTATACAGACTCATCGTCAGAGGTACATGTATAAGTGTTTTTCAGCTGAGTTCAGACTGGGCTTCTTGAAAGGGGTCATTTGTTCTCCAAGATAATGTTGTTTGTTATGATGCATGTACCAGTAAACAGTTTTGCCTCATATTTACCTTTGTTTATTTGAATCTCTGGAGTAAGTAAGTTACATGTGGAATTGTGGCTGATTATTAATTTATATACATTTTTAATGAATATGTGGAATGTGAACATTTTTGGAAAATGGTAGTGTAGAGTACTCTGATAGACAATGTCCAAGTATTTCGAAATGGCACCTTATATCGTAGGATAGACAACTTTTTCCCCTTTGCAAATTTTATATCAAAAGATTTATGAAACTTCAAATGACATAAAATTATATTATGACAGAGCCAATGACATACACTTTAGTTCTATGTTCGAGAACATTGCTGTGTAACAAAGTTTTCAATCATCTTTTCCACTTTATTTTACCCTGCTTTTCTTCTATTTTTTCATCTTTGTTATTTTCTCTCTCCCTATCTCATATTAGAATGCCCTGCTGGTAAGTGGGGTCCCCCTGAGTGCTATGGTATCTGTGATAAATGCTACAATGGTGGAGTCTGTGATGACAAGTCTGGACTATGTATCTGTCCTAACAACTTCAGGGGAACGAATTGTTTAGGAAGTAAGTACATGTAGGCCTGTAGAACTTCATTAGGAATGATGTTTTTTTTATCTGTTAATAGATGAATCAAGGAAGATATTCTTGTCTTATTCTATTGAAAATGAACAGAGTAATGTTCATGTATGGATTCTACATGTTCATTTCAAATATGTCTTTCTTCTACCTGACAAGGAGATAGGGAGATCAGAATCGTATTCATCATGTATTTTGAAATTTTATGTATTTGTAAATCTTCATTTTACTAGGAATTATTTGCGAGAAAAATGTTGATTTATCTTTTATCATTCTGTTTATAACAAGCAGATTTCTGATCTTTTGTATATTTATCTCTCATGTGTTATAAACAGTCTGTTAACGTAAAATTACTTTGTAAATACTTTGTAAATACTTTGTAAAGTGACCCTCTCTACCAGAGCTGCGGGTCATTCTAAAACAAACATTTTGAAAACAAAAAACAGCAGGGGAAAAGATTTGCTCTTGTTTCTACTTTCTTAATACCATATGCAATGTCTATTTTTAATGACCAAATAAATATCTCTATAACATTAGATTTTATGATCTACAAACTATGCTATCCATGGTTATGGAAGGGCTGTATTCAGTGTAGTGGAAACTATCATTTTTAAAGAGCATTAGACACCATCAGTAGTTTGCAAAAGGAGATTACAGGAAAGCAACCATATTTGATATTGATCTCATGAAATCTAATTTCTTATGCAAGTCTACAAGGTTTTGATACAACATTGCAACTATTTTTGTTTTCCAGTTTGTAGAACTGATGGTGGAAATCGATTTGGATTGAACTGTGAGTTTCAATGTACAACTAGAGGTGATCCTGCCACAAAATGTCATGAAAAACTTTTTTGCCTACCTGATCCTTACGGTTGTTCATGTGACGTCGGTGCCCATGGTCGTACATGTAACACACGTAAGTCTTCAATATTCTATTAATTGTGCTAAAATTATAATAGTGAAAATATCATGTATCTAGGAAGCCTAAAAGTTATCATACGTGTACGCGCAACTCAGTGGAGAAGAGGAGGAAGAGGAGGAGAAATTTATAAGAAGAAATTATTGTAACATGCCCAATTTTTTTCTTTCTAATGTATGTATTGTATCTGTCAATCAATTTTTATATCACATGTATCACCTTTAATAGAAGCTACTTTTGATTTTTCTAATGTATAACGTATGCCTACTTGTAAGTTTTGATTATAATTATATGTAATTATTTCTATATACTGTATGTCTTTATTTCTATTGTCTTCTACATTTGTAAAGCGCATTGGTATTAACTTCGGTAATTAAATGCGCTATATAAGAGCTAACTATTATTATTATTATTATTTTTGTAATGTTTTTAAAATTTCTATTACAGTATGTACTGCTGGTACATATGGTCCAGGATGTTCACAGACATGTCACTGTGCAGGCGGTGGTTCATCATGTAACATCTATAGTGGAGTATGTGCAGGTGAATGTCAGACTGGCTGGTCTGGGGACAACTGTCAAAGTAAGTCTTGGTCAGCAATGATAATAAATGATATGACATGAATGCTCTCCCCAAATAAGATAAATCAGAATTTTACATATAATGTACACTACAGCTTTGTAATTTTTGTAATTTTGTTAATTGTTTAACCTCATAGCCTACAGGACCCGGGGCTCCTGTGTTATACCTGTGTGGAATAAGATAATTAAGTAGTCAATGGGCTAACTTGAAGTTATCATATTTGTTATTGTTGTAGAAAACCCCTTCTTAAGGTGTGTTTCGGGGACGATTCCTCCCATACATGTATATTCCATTTTTATTAGGAGTAGTAGTATATGACTGGAAGACTTTATTGGATAAGTTTTTTTAGCACCAGGCTAATCTGCGACAAGGTCCATACGTAAATAAAGAAGAGGATTTCTTTTTAAGTATACACAGATTTATCTAGTGAAGGCATTGTTAAGTTCAAGAATATGTGTAATAATTGAAATTAAAAATGTAAAATATTGAATGTCTTGTTACAATGATACAATCTAATTTTAATGAGCTAATAATATTTGCTAGTAGTACCTGTATAATTGTGATTTGTAAAATATTTTCTTGTCATCCCCAGTTCCAGATGAATGTGAAGACGGCTACTATGAATCTCAATGCACTGATAAATGTCATTGCTTGAATGATGGACCATGTGATAAACAGACTGGAGAGTGCCCTGAGCAGAGGTGCGCTCTAGGATACACAGTAGGCGTTACTGGCGGGGTCATATGTCAAGGTAAAATACTATTTTTCAATAAAGGGTGTTGAATGAATTCCTATTTATGTATCTCCAGACAACATGTACATCAAGTATGGTGCAGTATACACATGGATAAATACTCAGACATCCATGTACATGTATGTATATTGGTCATATCAACCACATAATTATATGTACATAGTGCTAAGATAGTAAATACATTTATATGCATGTATAATCTGGAGGAGGATTCTAGTATACAAGTATTGACTGCTTTGTTGGGCATGGTTGAAACTGTTGCCGAACATGATCTTGAAACTGCAGGGCTTACAGACTTGAGGCAGGCTTAGTTTGGATCATCGCGTTGGGTCAGGTGGTCATGTTATGCGACCTTTTGAAAACATTCCCCTTCATTCACAAAATGTTTGGGGTAATGTTTATAAAATAATTCCCTCTCATTTACAAATAGTCCTGTCCAATTTACCTGACACTTTGTGAAGACCTTACAGCAATTTCTTGAAATGTTGGGTCCATAACGTGCGCATACATGGTCTTCAGTTTTTGTTTCTCAAAAGGTAGCACGATCACTGACTGGACATGATGAATTAATGAGTTAGCTCCTGGACACAGTTAAGTTGATTAAATAATGACCTCCAACAAAACAGCAGTCATTATTTGTTATACGATACATAATACACCTGCCAAAATTGTTCCATGTCATCCTACACCCCGCCCCCCCCCCTACTCCGTTAACGGAGGGATACCATATATGTTCCCAAACTCTCCGGCTTGTAACAAAAGAAAAAGGTCTACCCGTATTGAATACACACCAGACTTTTGCTGAAAAGGGGGGTGCCGAAAAAGGCACGTATAACAAAAGAAAAATGTCGGTCGCTGGAAACACGCATATGGGTACCTTAAATAACACTGAGTGGGGGGGGGGGGGGGGGGGGGGTCCTACACTAACCCAATTCTAACCTTTCATCCTTGACCCAACAGTGACCCATACCTTTGATTAAATACAGCCCAAAATAATCGTCCCAGGAGCAAACGTCTGAATAGAATACCTAGTTAAGGCATCATATAACAATCCTCAGTGGTGTTCTTTAGCAGAGAGAGCTTTATCCTAGTTGTGACTAAAGTTATTGTCTTAACCCTAAAAAGACTGGGCTATTTAAGGTCTTAGTACGGCCGGGGGGGGGGGGGGGGGTGACATTATGGCCCCCCTAAGGTCTCGGCCATGATAAGGCAGATTTTCGTGTAAATTTGCACACATGTCAAGTGAAGTGTATAGATGTATGACAATTTCATTACTTTTTGAATTTTTTTGTTTACCCATAAATCATATGTTATTCATATTTAAGCATTCTTTTTCACTACATATATTCATTAGACCATTTGGAATAATAATACAACAACAAATTTGGAAGAGCCAGCTTATTTCTTATGTTATCTCGTTTTGATAATTTCTTATGTATTTCACTATTTTTTTAACTTATGTAATTTATTGTTTTTTGTTGTTTTATTTCATTTCTAACTAGAATTCAACTATTTTGACTCCCCCCCCCCCCCCCAAATCACCTAAACTTTAAACTAGACCCAATAACCAATGTTTCATCTATTTTTAGAAAAAAATGACATTTCCATATGTTTTGTACACAAATCAGGAAAATGAGCAATTTTCGGGCTGACATGCAAAGACAAAAGGTCACGTGACCTTGAAACTGTAGGTCCAATTTTCAAAAAAATTCTTTTAAAAGATGTGCAAGACTCGAAAGAAAAAAAGTCAGCGAGCAGCGTGGCGCCATCCATATGTGTTTCCGAACAATCAGAAAAATCGTGGAGGAGGGGCCATAATGGCCCCCCTCCCCGGCCTTATTTATAGAGTTAATGTAGGACTGCACTACACTTTTAGCTACTGGAGCCCTCTGGTTCCTGTTAATCCCCCATGTTGAGAGCTGATTTGACTAGATAACCACCTGCCAGTGACCACGCTGGGAGATCTAATCCCTCCTGGACAAACTAGTGCAGATTGACTTTAAAAGGAAAGAGTTGGAGCCAGTGCATGATAACAAAGAGAAGAGCAGATCTAGATGTGATCACTGAATCACTGGCTGCAACAATTTCTAGTAATCCTGGACCTTTACGTCTAAGTTATACATACTCACAAAGATATGAGCCAGAAGAAAAGCTAATCATTTCACCTGATTACAATGATTAGATTTTTATGTCTATACAACCCTATTTCCAGTAGATCCCAGCCAAAGTTATATTTGCCTTTAGTATTCTATAATAATCTTTGACCAGATGTTTCCAATAAACATGAATTTGGTTTGATTATATTTCAGAGTGTGAAGGGGGTACCTTTGGTATGGATTGTCTTCAGCAATGTCATTGTGCTCCAGAGGCTTGTGAGAAGCAGAGAGGTCTTTGTAATGGACAATGCCTGGATAGCTGGTTTGGACCGTACTGTCAAAGTAATTATACCCAACATATATGTATTCTGCTTTGTTTCCTAGTTCAGCCACTATTACTATGATTATTATTCTTGGTTGTTTGACACTTGAGCATAGTTCAAACATATTTTGTATTGTTTGCTCTGTATAAAGTCCAATTTATATTTTAATGAATTTTTCTCCAACACTATACACACAGTAAGCGGAAGTTTACTGTAAAAAGAAACACCTTTTTTTCTCCTCCAAATGATTATCAGTTACTGTAATCTTGGGTAATCTTTGTACAGTCAAACTTGTGTATAGCGACCGCCCAAGGGAAACAAAAAAAGTTGTAGACAGGTGGTCCTTGTAGACAGGTTAAGCCGATAGATAAATCTAACAATTCAATTTTCTTTGTTGGTGTTTAAAAATTGAATAAACTAATACTGTTTTCACACTGGCAAAATTTTGCTTAACCCCGTACTACAGCTTGGCTAACCCCACCTATAGTACGGGGTTAACTAACCCTGCAAAATAGCAGGGCTAACCCTGCAATTGTGGTGCTAACTCCTGCTAACCCTGCAATTGCGGTGCCAAGCAAATGAATGAGAACAGAAACGAAAAAAAGTCCGGAACTACGCAATTGAGCGTATCGCAGCTGGCCAGATGCGAAGTATGTCCAATCATAACATTCACGATATCCGGGGTTAACGAACTGCAGTGAGAACAGCGTGAATTTTCTTATTCCGGAATAGGCGCTAGTACGGGACTAAAAACAGCGTGTGTGAAAAGCCCCAAAAATAGTCCAGGGTTAAGGATAGTACGGGGCTAAGAAAAGTAAGGGGTTAAGCAATACCAGTGTGAAAAGAGTATTTGAGTGGTACTTTGTTTAGTCTATATCAAAATACAAAATGATTTTTTTTAATTTTTTTTTTAAAATTGGCCGCAATTTTTTAATTCTTAGGCATATCAAAACTTATTTAAAAGAAATAAGAAAGAATCAAATAATCCCTGCAATCTGATTGGTCAATTACCATGTAATTATTTTTACTGGATGCACGCAATATCGGCGGTCGATACCACCGTTATCCTTTTTTTTTTTAATTCTCATTTTTTTTTTTTTTTTAAATAATTTTTTTGATCATTTTTTTTTGGTTATAATTATTTGTTATTCATGTTTTTTGATAATTATAATCTGTTTAATTTTTTTTTTAAAAATCAATGATTTTAATCTTTTAATTTTTATTGTTAATTTCATGATTTTGGCATTCATCCGGTAAATGTGTGACATAACAAAATTTTGTATTTTTGACAATTTTTGGGGCCCCATCTTATAAAACAGATGATGCACAGGTTTAATTCGTGGGTCTGTGGAATTGTGTGCACGCAGTACCTTTGAATTTGGTCTAAAACCATTCAAAGGTACCGCGTGCACACAATCCCTACCTACGCACTCAAACCTGTGCATCATTTACAGATTGATATCTTCTCTTGTTTAGGTTAACCTGCATGTTTATTTGTGGTAGTTTTATGATCTTGCCTATATAGTTCTGAATCTAAATACTGATACTGAAGTGCCTGAGTTGTAATCTTCTATTGGTGCAGACATGTATATTTGTATTTGATGTTTTGTTCTTTTGCTTGGTTTCTGACAGGAATATTGAGATTATATAGGTCATTCTCTTTTACCGTAATACAAACAAATCCATTCTTTTATTTTTCGATTATTACGATTGGTCAATGTTCTGTAAAGTTCATGTAGGAGTTGTTTACCATATGTATTTTATCTTAATTGTAAGTTAAATACATAAAGCAAGCAGATTTTATGAATAAAATTGTGTTTATGATTTAAAGGTAAAGACCAGTATTGGAAACGCCCCAATTTCAAAAAATGAAAAGGAAGCTCTCATTACCAATCATGTGAAAGAATATGTTTTGACTAATACATGATGATACAAAATTTGCAGGGAAAACGCCTACTAATTCATATATTTGGTAAATTTGTTTCTCTCATGGACTGTGAGAGATATAGGGTAGTCCCATATACATCTGTCTGTGTATAGTGCCAAAGAATGGGCCAAATTTCTTATCATTTTGACGATTCCAGAACCTTGCAGATGCTAGATGCTAGATGATCAATCTTTTCTGATCGATTCCACAACGTTTCTTTCACAATGCAATCACATGACCATAACTGGTCTTTACCTTTAATGTTCATTCATTTTTTTCGTCTTGGTTCTTGGCAGGAATATCCAGATTGGTTCCAGTGAGAGTGAACCCATACCAACCATCTAGCTTCACATGTTATATTGAGGGTATCCCACTTCCCGATGCCTCCTCAGTTAATCTTTACAGACGTACTGGAAGCACCTATAACAGGACAGGAATCACCAGGGGATCAAGCACTGTCTCAGGGTCAGAACGGGCTGTTGTCTTTGATGTTGATAGTGTGTATCCACAGGAAGATGGGGGATACCAATGTACTCTCATTGTTGAAACTACAGGTTACCCCAGTGTGCTTATTACCAACGCAACCTATGGTGAGCAAACTGCATGACTTCAGTTTACTCTAATGATCTGTGAGATATACCTGTTTAATAGAAAGCATGATATTACTTTAACCCTTATTGTACTGGGCTACCGTATTTTGAGCATCTCACTGACTGGGGGGGGGGGGGGGGGGGGGGGGATGCGAGAGTACTTCTGGGAGGCTCCCCCCTATGATCTCGGCCGTCGAATGTCCGATGAACATGAAAATTTGCATGTTTGTAGATATTTACGTAAGGAACAAGATGGTATAATTAGTTTGTTCCTAATATGCAAATTGTTGTCGTTATAGCCTAATTAATTATGCAAATTTTATGCATTTTACTGAAAACTCTTCATATTTGTCTGTAGACTTGTGAAGAATCTTGAAAATGTATTGGATAAATGTTTCCTTCATCTCAAATTCATGAAGTTTCATTATTTTTATGATATTTGAAAATGCATAGGTTAATTTGCATAAATTATGAATACGCAAATTATGCATTCATGAATATCAAATCTGGAAATATGCAGGGAACTAGAATCATTACAAAAATTGTCAGACTCCACTTTTTGAATGTTAAAACTCATTATTCATATGAAACTTCTTTTCTAACACAAAGTAGTTATTTTTATGTAATTAATATGATCATTTATGCAAATTTGATGTGATTTTCAAATATATATTTTTCTTATTTATTTTATTGTTTTATTTCTTATTATATCTATTGTTTTATTTCTAATGTATTCTTTTGTTCTGGAATACATCAAGTTACTTTGAGAAACATGTAAAAGCAATTTGATATCAATTCATATCTCCCACTTAAAAAGAAATACATCTAAACCTGTGTATATATATAGCACTTTTTGATGACATACATGTATGCATACTAATTATAGTATACAAATAATGAATGGTTATGAGTTCAATAGTGCGAATATGTTCATGAGTTGAAAGATTAACATTCTATTCAACGAGGCGTCAGCCGAGTTGAATAGAATTAACGTTAATCTTTCAACGAATGAAAATATTTGCACTATTAAACGAATGAAAAACATTCATTATTTGTTTTATACAACATCGAAGAAGACCTAATAGAACGTTAATCAACAAATTATGCTTTACTCCTTATAAAGATAAATTAAAGTTCGAGTCAAGCCTGCTCGATTACATGCAGATTGCCTTCGCGTCAGATACACGCAGGGATACGCGCACATGCAGCAGAGAGGTACGCAGTCTGCATATAACCAAAAATGCACGGCGCATATAACCAAAAATGCACGACCGTGCAATATACCATCTATTGAATATCATGTGACCAACAATCGTCCAATCAAATGACAAGGATCCACGTAGGTGTTGTATAATAAGTATTATCTTTTTTTGTTTTTTGTTCAGTGCTGCCAGTCATTGAGAAAGCACCAGTGATAGTGAGTACTTCCTCAACTACAGTTGGTCTCCGATGGAATGCATGGTCTGAAGAAGATGATGTAGGTGATCCTCCTCTGGTAGGATATGATGTCTTTGTAAAGAAGGATGGTGACTGGGTAGCGGATCAGAGAGTAGATAAACTAACAACATCAGCCATCGTTAGTAACCTGACACCCGACACAGATTACAGGTTTCGTGTAGCAGCAGTGAGGAATGGAACAGGTGGAACAGGACCTTTGTCTCCTAAGAACGACACAGTAACTCTCTGTAGAAGTAAGTTATGCTCGGGAGAAAAATACTTGGTGTTGGAGTTATACATTTTTTCAAACATTTTTTTACAGGTACATTGTTTGGCGCTTGTTCAGAAACCTATCAAAAATTTGACCCGTAACTCCGGTGTGGAACATACCCAAAATGAAGTAAATATTCATGAAATGTACAAATGAAGATCGATGATTTAAAATTTGTTTTGTTTATTACCTGTTTCGTGTCAATTTTCTTGTTATTTTTGGAGTATTTCTTGGGAAAACGATGATATTAGTATACACTTTTTCACAGGTTTCACATCAAACCACTACACAATACAAGTGCATACTACCAATAGTGGGTTGCGGGCGGGCGTGCCCTTGTGTGAAGTTATCTACCATAATGAGGATTTGAGACATTACGGTATGTAGGTAACTTCACACAGGCGTGCGCCCGTCCGCAAACCACCATCGGTATGCATTTTTGGTACATGTTTTAGTAGGGTATCTCCACACCGGATTTACATGTCAAATTTTGGATAGGTTTCTGAACAAGCGCCCATTGTTTTTGCATTAGTAATTGATTTGTACATTTCGATGTACATTTTGGACATTTATGCACTATTCATTGATTGAATGCACTTTCCATTGAAATCTTTAACCTATCTAGTTTTTTAGTAGAATCTGTATGTTATTTTGTTTTCCATTCATACATTCCATTTTTTAATTGTTTTATCTTTCTAAATTTTGATACAGAAAATTTTCTCTACAAAACACGCATTCTCCCCCAAAAAAGTTTATAGTGCCCTTGACTGTGTTTTTCCCAAAGGTAGTTTCATTTTTTAACTCATTGAAATTTGATTTAAAACCACATGAAGAGTGTTTGTTGAAGCAATGCATGATTTTACCATGACATGCATGTACATGTAATGAATTCATCTTCTATAGGACCAAGCCAATTAGTATCTTCTATATAATTTTAACTTCAGAACCCAGTGCTTCTCCAGCTATACTTCAAGTTTCAGCCATCAACCCTAAAGAGCTAGAGGTGACATGGGAGGTATGAACTGTTTGAAGAATAGCTGTTTGGTCACTTAGTGAAATGTAGTTGGATGAAAAGACTTGTCCAGAGCAAAAAATGCATAAATTTTAATAGTCACAATTTCATTACATTGAGGTAGAACTACACCGTTATGATTTGGAGTTGGTAAATATCTGTTTTACCTTGATTACACTTGATTTTATCTAAAAATTTAACTGAGATATGTCAAATATGAACATTAATTATTAAACTCACTTCACTATCTTGCCTTTTGCATTCTGGATGCTTCTTTACTTACTTCTCAACATTTGACTACCGGGTAAACAAAATAATTTGGATTTAAAAACAGGTGTACAAATTTCTCTGTTTGCCAGGTAACAGTGTGTGCTTGGGGATTTATAAAAAAGAGTTTTGATTTAATTTCACAGAAGGAAGCAAATAAATAGGTTTTGGATTGAGAGATTCTTCTTCTGCAGGATGCTCCATCATATTGATTGCAGCATCCTTATTAATGTGAAAAATTGTAGACAAAATATGATAACATCTTGTAGTTTTGTGTATAAGTGTGAAAGTATCATCTTTTACATGGTTGTGCTATATGTAACATATATTTGTACCTTTATGTTTCAGCACCTCCCCTCAGAATCAGCAGAATGCAGGAGTGGAGTGACTCATTATATGATCTACTATGCTCCCTCTGGTTCAACTTCTTCAAACTCTAACTTGGTTTCTCGTGACGTTAGCTCCTATGTGATAAGAGGGTTAGACACCTATCTGGACTATACCATTCAATTGACTGCATCAAATAAAGACGAGGAAAGTGATAGGAGCAGTGAGACTATCGGCAAAACACTTGAAGAAGGTAAGACTTCATCAGCTAGTTATCTTGGATTCTTGAAAGGAAATAGTCTTATTCGTATAGATATAGTAAAATATATGCGAGGGGGAGGGGGAGGGGGAGGGGGAGTGGGAGGGGGCGGAGGAGGAGGAGGAGGAGGAGAAGATGAAGAAAGAACTTGCAATCTATGCACATTTACACCCTCTCATACAAGAGTATACAAGTTTGTTAATTAATAAACCTTCCTGCTTTCCCTTCACAGTTGCACCTAGTCCCATCAATGTGGCTATACCGCGCAGTACTACAAGTTCCTTCACTGTATACTGGTCTACCCCTCTACCATCTAACAACAATGGTAACATCCAGAAGTATATCATCCGCTACCAGCAAACTGATCCCGTTGACCCCGATGGGAACTATAAGTCAGAGGAAGTATTGAACAGTGCGTTTGAAGGAGAGCATACTGTGGTAGACCTGACAGCAACAACAAACTACTCAGTCCAGGTAATACTTCAATATTTATTGATAGGTATTTATATACCACTAGGCCTGTGATTGGTCAAAACCGCAGGCATAAAATTTGCTATGGACTGCTTGGTAGTATAGCAAAAGAATATAATTGGGTATACCTCTATATGAAATTTAGCATACAATGCAAGGATGCAATACATGCGCAGCAATGGATGCACGCAGAGGACATGAGCACCTTTGTCTGAGATTTGACACCACCTGCATGGCCTCTAAAAGGATCACTGGAGATGAGGTTTTAAGAACCAACACTGGAGGAACTTTGTTCATAGAAGATAAAAGAGCCAATTTTCTGTTTGGCAACACTCTCTGTATGGATTGTGTCCTTGTAAATGCAACATGAAAGGGCAAAAAGGTATGGTCTTTTAGAAGAGTTACTAGATGGAATCTAGATGGATCTTCGACTACGTGCATTGAAAATGATGCCTCCGCCATATTTTGCAAACCAAAACAGAAGAAATTTTTAAAATTCAAATTTGATTGTAATTCTTTAACAGGTTTTCATAATATCGTGATTACAAGCTATTTTTCATATACATGTATGACCCTTTGATCTTTGACCTCATGATCCTAAAATATAATATGATCATTGGCTCTGCAAGATACATACATGTCCTGAGTTTGATAATAATAATCCATCCGTCCATTCTATTGACACTACGTTCACAAACTATTTTTGCATACATAATGAGCCTTATGACCTTTGACCTCGTGACCCCAAAATCATATCATTTCATTGGCTCTGCAAGATACAAACATGACTTAAGTTTGGCAGTTATTGGGATAATGCAATCATGAACTATTTTGCATACATAATGAGCCCTGTAACCTTTGAAATTTGACCTTGTGACCCCAAAATCTAATCAGTTCCATTGGCTCTCCAAGATACATACAAGACTTAATTTGGCAAGAATCCATCAATCGGTTCTTGAGATAACACGATCACGAGAACAGAACGTATAGACGTATACGGACGTATGTACAGATGGACGGACAGAGAACTCGATATGAAAACATTAATAGAGCAAGTTCCTTTTGGATAAGTAACCTGAGATTTGCCCTGACTTGGATGATAGAATTTCAAGAAAGAGGTCAAATGTATAGAATTATTTTTGTTATGATATCAACATTTCTTTATATAGGTACAGACTGTTAATGGAGCTGGTTCTAGTAATTGGTCAGAACCTGTGAATGCTAAGACGATACAATCAGGTAAGAGCAGTATAATGCTAAAAATTTTCCATCAGAAATAGACCCTTTGGCTCAAATTGCTTCTTCAACATGGGCTCTAAATGGCTAATACAGATTGACGCCAAATGAAATGAGTGACATGAAGCAGAATTGAATTTTGCTTCCATATACTTAACAGGGATCATTTAACAATGTTAAATCTGAGATGCACGGCCTACATGTTATCAGTGTCTGTGATATGGTGTAATATTGAAGCCCTAACAAAAAATGAAAAAACCTTTGAGTGACCGGTTTTACCATACTTGTTTTCCCCAATATGTGTTATGAAAACCGTTTGGCAAACGCAAAATTTGATTTCGATTTTCAATCATAAATATCTTGATAATCAGACAGGCGATCAGCTTGTAAAAGTCATGGGGTTCTTGACCGACCTAAAGGTTTATAATTATCATTGCAGCATGAGCTAAATCAAGGATTTGTTTAAAGGATCTAAGACAAAGTTACCGGATCCCTTTTATTATATTCAATCCTTTTAAGTGAATATTGTTCGTAATTGCACAATACATGACTTTTTAAAACAAAAAAAAAAAAAAAAAAAAAATAAGTATGAACATCTTGCAACTACAAATTTCCCAATCTCCATAGGCTTTAATACAGGAGCCACACCATTTTTTATTCGAGTGATACTTTGTATGAGTCTTATTTCATGTGTTTTACTACACTGCAGGTGGCCCTCCTCCTCCAATAGGAGCGATAGTAGGGGGTGTCATGGCTACCCTCTTTATCTTCATCCTGGTCATTATTCTCACCCTTGTCATCTTTAGAAGGTAAGTAACAGAGAGACCGTTTTCCCGCAAGGTTCATTTAAATAGTAGAAATACACTGTAAACAGATACTAAATGAAAAATGAAACAATGACAAACTTTCATCCATTTTTTGAGTAATTTGCAAAAAGACGTTACTACAAACTGACCCAATTTATTTGTGAAATGAATAATATCAGAGTACTATTATCACCCTCTGTGATTTTCTTTTGCAATGTTTTTTATGGTTATGTTCATAAAGGACTCTTTACACAGAAAATTTAATCTTTGCTGGAAATTGTTTGTCAATAAAATTGTTGCATACTATGACATTCAATTTGAAACCAAAAGGAAATGAATGTTGAATGTAAATGATATCTGAAACTCAATTTTCCAGTCTTTGTCTTTCAAGTTTTCTTGGTAATCATACAGGAAATGTGGTATATATGTTTACGGCGTGCAGATAGTCTGAAAGCTAAGTGCTTCCTGATGAGACCTAATTCTTGATTTTAAAAAAAAATGTTCACTTCATATTTTCAAAGGTTTTGTTGCATGATTAATATGGTTTGCAGAGCACACACACAACATTTTATTTGAGATTTTTAACTGTTTCCAGTTCAAGAGTAATCTATACTGGTGTTAATAATCATATTCACTGTTTATATAGCGCTTAAAGGCATCGTTTAACAATGTTAAATCTGAGATGAACGGCCCTACATGTTATCAGTGTCTGTGATATGGTATAATATTGAAGCCCTAAAAAAAATTGTGCTTCAAAATGATCAACAAGTGCCTCAAAAAAGTAAAAATCTTTGAGTGACCGGCATACCCATTTGCCCCAATAGACTGTAGTGTTATAAAAACCGTTTATAGGCAAACACAAAATGAAATTTCGATTTTCAATCATAAATGAATTCAGGCTTGCCTGCACACAATGTTTGCACATTCTCCACTCCCTGGGGAGCATTCCAGCCCGGCACCATTTTATAGACACTCACCATGCTGAACAACCTACATTAACATTCACATCCTACGTAGGGCCATGCATCTCAGATTTAACATTGTGAAACGATGCCTTTAATCGCGGAAGAGGTTTACGGTACACCATGTGTTAATTAAGTCCTAGAAGGACTAAGGAAAGTGGATAGAAAATAGAAGTGACATCAGAATTCATTTAACCGGTTAATTATACATCTGTAACCTGCCCGCCGAAACCGCCGACCAACACACACAGAGCGACACCACTAATAGCCGTCCTCACCGCCGATCGATACACCCACTCAACAGCCGACACACCGCCCGCTACTCCGCCGACACCAACCACACGACGTCCGCATAGCCGCCGCCCACTCGTTTCCCGCCAATTCACGCAACTGAGCGTCACCACCGACAGCTGCCTGCCAACCCGCCGAGCCCGCCGGCCCAATGCTTTCCCCCAAGTCCGCACTCACGCCATAAGGACCGCGGCACGCCTAGCGAACACTCACTCCTGAAGACGGACAGTCAACCTGTCCGAAACATCGAGTCTACTCTCCTGCTCCTGCTCTGCAACTCTACTCAACTCTCCAACTCAATCCAGTCTTCTACTCAAACCTCTCATCCTGTCTACAACTTTCTGGTTTACAGTCCTTTTCAAGACTATACTCTCTTCCGAAAGATACTCTTCCTTCCAACCTCCACTTTCTCGCCTTTCCATTTCACTTCTATTTTCTATCCACATTCCTTAGTCCTTCTAGGACTTTACACATGGTGTACCGTAAACCTCTTCCGCGATTATTCATACCACCATGCAAACCTTCAAACATCATCTGATGCCTTTAATGAATGAATGATCTTACACCTTTATTTTTCATAGGCGAAGAAACAACGAAGGACAGGATACCAAGGCTATTGATAAGCAGGGTGGTGAGTTGAACATTTTACTTGATAGGTAGATTTGTGAAACGGAGCGGCACAAACAGACGCATCCGGAACACAATATGCATAACTGGTGAAAAGTATAAATTTATCACACAGATGTAGATCAACGTGAATGTATTCCTGTTGTATTCGAAGACATGTATCTGAATACAACCAACCACTTATTCTGTATGAAAATTAGTGGTTTGAATACACATGATTGTATTCAAACCACTTGTAATAGTATTCCTTTGTATTCCTATAAGCCGAAATATGTAAATGAGGAATACAAACAAGTATTCAAACCACTAGTATGCAAATTAAAAGACGAATACTAGCTACAAATTAGTATTCGAACCACATATTTAGTATTCCTGTCAGCTCAAATTATTCGAACCACTTTGTTAGTATTCCTTTGTATTCCTATAGGCCGAAATATTTAAATGAGGAATACAAACAAGTATTCGTACTACTAGTATGCAAATTAGAAGATGAATACTAGCTACAAATTAGTATTCTGACCACTTGTCATCTGAAATATGCAATGCTGGAATTAGTATTCCGACCAACACCAAAATCCCACAATGCAGCAGAATTATACCCCAATAATAATCACCTCATACAACATACAAATTGCAGTGTAGACCCTACATAACATACCAATTAACAGTCATCAACTACAGTACGTGTATATTTCTGCTGTATTTTTAAATTGACATACAGGCCTACACTGTTTCACCCGAAGTACTAGGATGTTCATGCTAGATACTAACTCTTATTTCAGTGTGTGCTGTTTAGCAGTTTTAATAGTGCTTTCTGAAAACAAACTGGGGTCAAAATCTGCGATATTACTTGATAAGTATTAATTAGCCCATGTTCATACTACAAATGTATAATGTATCATGACTTATATAGCACACTTTATACAACTTCACAATGTAGGTTCAAATGCATAAAAATACATCAAGTCTATAGACAATTATACCCCCTTGTGTAATATTGGTCCTATACATGTAGACAACTGGTCCTGGACCAGCTTTGAGGGAATAGACCTTCGATCCTGTACGTGACTCAACCAAAAGGAATGAAGTTACCACGGACCACTGTTTCAGTATTTGGTCTACCAGTATCATCATGCACATACTCAAAAGTTAGACATTTCTAGACTTAGATCCAGGGTCCACATGTAGAAATTGGACTTAGGCCTATAGATCTATTATCTAGATCAGGCCTTCTCAACTAGTTTATTAGAAGCGCCAAAATAAAAATTTATTGAGGTTGAAGTGCCAACCTGTATGTTTGGTGACTGTGTTGCGAGGGAGCGTAGCGACCGAGCCGATACCGGGTGGGGTCCAGGGGCGAAGCCCCCGGAAGCTAGTGGATTTTAGGGCTTTTTTAAGGCCCAGATGTGGCATTTTTAACACCTTTTTGTTCCATAAAACATCAATCATAATTTCATATTGATGTGAAATAATTAGTACAATTCCTGGCTAAAATCTACACTGGAAGTTAATTTACATGTAGTTATTTTGGTGCAATAAACACGGAAAATGTCAAAATGAAGTGAAAATCAAACAAACGAAATGGCTTGCTTACATTTTGGGCTCAACTTCGACTGCGACTTTTTGATTTTGCTGAGTCTTTTATTTTAAAATATAATGTTTTGATTTTTTGTCTTTCTTAATTTTTTTTTATAATTTTATTTTTTATTTTATTAATTTTTTTTTATTTTTGAACAGCCGCGCGCCACTCTGACTGACCGCAAGCGCCACGAGTGGCGCGCGCGCCGCCAGTTGAGAAGGCCTGATCTAGATCTACTTAGGCTACTTGTATAATTATGTTAAACACATCCTAACTGAGTCCAATTCGAAACATTATAGGCTATGTCTTAGGTAATTAACCTGTTAGGTCTAGAGTCTAGACTAGTCCTTTTAGACTAGGACATAGAGTCTAATCTAGTTTTCACTCCACAATCAGATCAATCAAGTCCAGCAATTAGTCCTGGATCTACTTGCACGGTCCACTCATTTCTAATCGCAACGTGACGCGCTCTGAGCGGCTCAGTTCCAAAACCAAAACCAAACTGCAGTGCTATACTGTTCTGGTCCTGGTCAAGCCTCTAGGCTCTCGTCCTGGTGATCTAGGCTCTGGTCATGCCTCATGGCGAGCCTCTAGGCTCTGCATGGTTCTGCCTCTGCATCAGTTCTGGTCCTGAATGTAACTGTAGGGCTCGATCTGACAGTCAATACGTTGTGTGCCCGTCGGTCATACTCCTAATGCCCCACATAATACAGTCCACAGGTGACACATGCAGATTTACTCAACTGGCTGTGATTGTCAGCAGTTCAAAAACGTTGCTTGAATCCAAGGTCATGCAAGATTTTTGCTGGCTCAATGTAATTTGCAGTTTAATAGTAATAAATATGGCAATCCTTTTGACCGCTGCCACCATGTTAAATGATCAGATCTACAGATCAATAAGATCATTGCTGGAGACACTGTTCATGTATAAGTGGCCATCTTGGAAGTGCTTTATTCTGGTATTCCTCCGCCAATCACAGCCTCATTACGCACATCAATGAACTATTGGTGTTGTTAATATAGTACCACAACAAACATCAGATTTTTAGTATTCAAATTGGAGGAATACTAATAATCAAAGACTCAATTCTACTAGTATTCAAACCAACTGCAGGTTTTGAATATTAGTATTTTCATGGAAAATGTTTGTATATTCAGAATACTAATGATCGAAGACTAAAATTCCTTTGTATGGATTTTAGTATTCGAACCACAACAATTTGAATACTTAAATTGATTTTAGTGGTTGTGACAATCAGATTTTTAGTATTAAAATTGGAGGAATACATGCAACCACTAAAATACCACTTATTTTGTATTCTGAATATTAAGCGAATATATTCAGAAGACTTATTTTGTATTCCTGTTTGGTAAGGACCCACATGGTTAGGATATGGAGCTGGTTGATACATTTATACTATCTCGATTAGGCTTGATGTTACCTTTCATTCAGGTATGTCAAAAAAGAGCATTTTACTTCACAAAAATCATTAGCTCTTTCACCCTTAGCGTTCCAAACACGTCTTTTAATGCATTTCATTTTGCTAAGCTACTTTATTAAGAAAACCAAGCATCTACATCTATTTTGTCCTATTTATTTTTTCTATTTTTTGGTATTGCTTATAGTCTTAATGATAATTCTTAGTTGATTTACACTGATTTATCATCAGTTTTTAACAATTCATATGAAAAAATCTGATCAAAATTCTTGTATTTTAGCTCTTTTTAATTCTGTTTTTGGAAACAAACCTTGCAGAAATGTAATAATTCCTCACAAATGCCCTGTTGATTAGAGTGCTTCACTACCCGTCCATTTAAGTTTGTTTCCTCAATACATGGACTTTGTTTGGTTCATTTTTTATCATGTTACCCCCATATATACAAAGTGCAACGTTTGTGGTACTGTATCTTATAAAAGAACATACCGTAAGACTCAATTTTTTTAAATTATGTTTTTATTAGCTTTATACAATGTTTCTACAAGTTTTTTAGTCAGATGTGCAATTTTTTGCAAATACATTGTTTTTATTTGCATACTTTTAAATCGGAGAAGCAACCCATTTACGTATTACATCCTTTTTTTTTTTAGTGAGTATATTTTCTCATTGACTTTTTATTCCATTTTAGGTTCGTCTGCTGTCATATACAGTAATGAAGAGATTGGTTTCCATGACAACACATATGACGGAGTGGCATATGACGAGAACACCTATGAAGGAGTTGACCTTCCACCTGCTGCAACAGTCCCAACCTCTAAACCACCTATCCAACCAAGGGTGCAATCCCAAAACACCAACGGCAAACCTGTCGCTGTCGTTCGTCCAGAAAGATCGGAACCCAAGGCCAAGCCTCCACCGCAGCCAAAGCCGTATGCCCTCTATGCTACAGATAAGGCTGGAAGCAACGCATCATTGGATGATGTCAACAGAAAGCAAGAAATGGGAAAGAAGGATGAGAAGCCGCTTATGGTACCTAGAGACCGATCTAAGAGTCAGGAGAATCTAGACAAAGGAAGTAGAGAGGAGGTGGAAAGTGGAGACATCTACCAGAACGTGACCGTTCCAGGAGTGGTGATGGTCACGGAGCTTGAGGAATACATCAAGAGCAAAAAGAATGGCAGCATCAATGAGCTGGCCCATGAGTTCAATGTGAGTATTACAGGGCATCTCTTGAAAGTAGAAATAGATATAGAATATAGGAAGTACCCCCCCCCCCCCTGGAAGAAAGAGTCAATTGTATGAAGAGATATTTAGTTTTACAGTAAACATGACGTTTGTAGCTTTTGATATATTTCAATTAAACTTAGCCTACATGTCAAGTCAATGTAATAAGAAATTTTGCCATGCTAGCTTGTGTACATGCATTCATGTAACAAACATTTGAGATCGTATTGGTGTGATCAATCAGTTTTCACTCAACAAGATTTTTGTCACTTGGGGGCCAGGCAATTGATTCATTAACATGTATACATGTCTAAGTGAATACATGTTTGTCTGAAGAATACTTGATTGGCATGTGAGAGCCACAGGCAGACTATTCAGTCATTAAATACATTTACATGTATGAATATGTATACTTGTGTTTTTGTAATCTTGTTATGCCTTACTATTTATTTCCTAATTATTAATTTGTACATGGACATAGCTTCTCAACGTCAACCAACAAAGTCCCTGGGAAGTCGCCTCCAAAGAGAAGAACAAGCCAAAGAATCGCTTCAGGAATATCATTGCATGTGAGTACACAGAGCTGAGGTTGTATGATGTAAGCTGTTGAGAGGTGGGAAGAGAGAGAGGGAGGGAGGGAGGGAGAGAGAGAGATAGACGAAAATAGAGAAAGCATGATATATGTACATGTATTGAGATCACACTTTGAAGAAGTGCATTTCATGCCAACTATGTAATTTGATTTCCATTTGTTGGCCTTTAGATAGAGAAAAGATAATTAGGTATGAAGAAAGAGAGAGAGAGAGAAAGAGATGGAGAGAGAGAGGGAGAGAGAGAGAGAGAGAAAGAGATGGAGAGAGAAAGAGAGGGAGAGAGAAAGAAAGAGATGGAGAGAGAGAGAGAGAGAGAGAGAGAGAGAGAGAGAGAGGTTAGGGGCAGGATAGAGAGAGAAGAGGTGTGGGGAGGGGGGGGGGGGGTATTGTAGTTAAATTTTAACCATCTCCAAGCTTCCAAATTTACACCACAATACTCATTAGTGGACTTCCATCCGTCAAATCATGCACTTAAAAACTTTATCCCATGGTTAAAGGTAATACAAAGTTTTGGTATGGGGTCATGAATTTGGTTCAAATGGACATATTGGAAGCATATACAATCCTACCATATTCAGTGATCGTTGTCGCGGTCGAAATAGACTCTAAAGTTATGAAATTGTATACAAATAATGAATGGTTATGAGTTCAATAGTGCGAATATGTTCATGAGTTGAAAGATTAACATTCTATTCAACGAGGCGTCAGCCGAGTTGAATAGAATTAACGTTAATCTTTCAACGAATGAAAATATTTGCACTATTAAACGAATGAAAAACATTCATTATTTGTTTTATACAACATCGAAGAAGACCTAATAGAACGTTAATCAACAAATTATGCTTTACTCCTTATAAAGATAAATTACAGTTCGAGTCAAGTCTTCTCAATTAATGCAGATTGCCTTCGCGTCAGATACACGCAGGGATACGCGCGCGCACATGCAGCAGAGAGATACGCAGTCTGCATATAACCAAAAATGCACGGCGCATATAACCAAAAATGCACGGCGCATATAACCAAAAATGCACGGCGCATATAACCAAAAATGCACGACCGTGCAATATACCATCTATTGAATATCATGTGACCAACAATCGTCCAATCAAATGACAAGGATCCACGTAGGTGTTGTATAATAAATAATAAACACTTTATGTTGAATAGCTCCCTCTCAAGTTCAATATATCAATTAAGCTATCTTCATATTAAGCAATGTTTATTGCCTAAAATCGACCGATTAGCTATCTCTTTCGGAAATTATATACCACAACTACATACTCTGAGATTTTCACGGTCGCAGCTACCACTGTACGGCCGTAGGAGCTAATTGAAATTTATCAAAATTTACCGGGAGCACCGGTAAATATTTATATTCAATTTTTCTCGAAAGCAGAAGTGTTTTAGGGGCTAACATTTCTGGTGTTCTTAATACATCCACAGGGGCATCCAAATATATCAAAAGTGTAAAGAATCACTATCCACCCATTTTTCAAAATTTACCAAAACTTTGTAATACCTTTAATATGCAAGGTAGAAATTTGCTTAACAGGAATAGACTTTACAATGCTTGAACCAACTTTTGTTTTAGAAAGGACAATACCTACTCTTATTTGAAGTCTATGTATAATCACCACAGTGAAACTCTATGGATAGGATTCGGTGGAAGGGGTTAATTGAAGGATAACTGTTCCCTTTCTGTGCCTTGCACCTAATCTGAATTTATATCCCTCATGTATAGTTGTTTGCATTGCGATTGTACAGAGCACGAACAAGGTATAGACAAGTACTATCTACCGATCTCAGGTTGAGATAGTACTTAATTGTAAAGTATTTTTTTGCTGCTACCCCACTTGCCCACCCTTGCCCTTTGAATACGCATAGCAAAGTAGGTTACGCGAAATGTCAAAGTCAATGTCAATGTCAAATGAGCGTGCATCAACTGTATTCCATGTATGCATGTTGCGCTTTGTAAAATCTAGCTGAAGCTAAACTGTCTGCAGAATCAGTTCTTATTATTATGTAAAATTCATTTTAAATAGACCTTATTGCCGATGTGGGATATAAAACAAATATTAACCTCCTTTACTTGGGCAATGGATACAAACTATCATCGCCTCGGTGATCTCGGGGCTACCATTACCCTCGTAGTCGATTAATATTTGCTTAATATCTGTCTTTTCCAATGGCTATTTCAGATGATCATTCTCGTGTTGTGCTTGAGAAAGTTGATGGAGATCCCCACTCTGACTACTTCAATGCTAACTATCTCAGCGTAAGTATATACCGAATTCAGTTAACCCTATTTTAACTGGGCTATTTCAGACCAGATTTTTTTTTTTCTGGGGGGGGGGGGGGATCAACCCCCTTAAGATCTCAGCCATTTTACAGCCGATCGCTGCGAAAATGTGCATGCATGTCAAGTGAAGTGTATAGAATACTATGGTAATTTCATTTTTTTGAAAAATTCACTCATTGGCATATGGTAATATTATTTATATTTAAGCATTCTTTTTCACTACATATATTCTTTAGACCATTTGGAATAATAATACAACAACAAAAATTGGAAGAGTCAGGTTAATTGTTATGTTATCTCTTGTTTTGATAATTTCTTATGTATTTTATTGTTTTTGTTGTTTTATTTTATTTTCTAACTACAATTCAACTATTTTGACCCCAAAACAAACACCTAAACTTTAAACAAGACCAAATAACCAATGTTTTATCTCTTTTTAGGAAAAATTATATTTCCATATGTTTTGTACACAAATCACAAAAATGAGCAATTTTCAGGCTGACATGCAAAGACAAAAGATCACGTGACTTTGTAACTATACGTCCGATCTTCAAAAAAGTTTAATAGGAAAGTGCATTTACATGTATCATTATGCCCATTTTCTTTTCTACCTTAGGACTTCAAGGGAAAAAAGGCATTCATTGCATCACAGGGTAAAAATAGTTTTTTTATATTGAGTAATTAATATTGCATAATTCACTAATAATGTTGAGTACACTTAGCCTACAGTACAATGTAAATTTGATCTCCCTGTTATACTGAGTGTATTGTACTTTTTAAAATGCAAAAGGTTGTTTAAAATCTTTGTTAAACATACAACTGTATAAGAACCAGAATGGTTTCCTTTTTGTCATATATTTGCAATTTTGTATTGTTTGATACTGTTGTGATTCTATCAGTTTATCTGTTGAGACAGAAGTACAAGTATAGTGTTTTATTTTTTTAATTATTTTTGTTTTTAATAAAGATTGTTGTAGGATTACGTTAATATACCAATAAGTTTGCCTTAACATAGATGACACTGTGCTATCAACTATTTAACTGTATGAATTGATAACACACATGACATTTTAGAGTACGTTACATGTATGCATATCCAGTATGTTTGAAGAAACAAGTACATTTGCTTATTTTTCGTTTCTTCAGCACCTAACACGGCATCACTGACTGCCTTCTGGAGAATGATCTGGCAAGAGAATGTTGCGACCATTGTCATGGTAACCAACTTGATTGAGGCAGGAAAGGTAGGATTCAGTGTTAACATCCATGGAGCTTACACATTATTGAATTAAATTACATATTAAAACTACAAACGTTACAGTTTACGGTGTTTGTTGATAATGTTCATTTACCACAATGTATTTTGCATTTTGCATTTGCATATACTGTTTTATAAAATTACAAGTTTAAAATGTGTAGAGACATCTACACCTACATGTACAGATTTTTGAACTGAAGAAATCTCCTTTATTGAGACAGTATTTTTTAGATAGCATGAGCATTATTTGATCACTTCTAAAGGAACAAAGTAAAGGTAGTTTATTGTTCTAGCCTAGGAGAATGAGGCAATATTATGAGTTGATGAATAAAACTAAGTTTTCAGAAACAAATTGATTACTGAAGCAAATCTTCTGTTCTCTATTGCAATAGATGTGCAATATTTGTTTTTGTAATTCTAAGGTAACTACTGGTTCCAATTTTCTATTTAAACACTCTTTAAATAACTTTGCAGGATCGTTGTAGACAGTACTGGCCCAAGAACCCAAGGTCTGTCGAAGTTATGGGTGACTTCTCTCTCTTCTTGCTTGAGGTTGAGCAATTCTCTGACCACATAGTGCGGACCTTGATCGTTAAGAAGAAGGTACATCCTTAATTATTTGTTTAGTGAAATGATACATCCGGAACGCAAAGATGATAATAGTTGGTGCTATCTATGGATGAAAAGTTGTAATTCAACATTTGAGGGAATATCAAGGTACATGTAGTAGAAAGAAGTACTAGCTTATATGTTAAAATCTGTGTTCCATATGCAGCTTTTTGTTCCACTTCATGACATTTTGGTAAGCTACTTTGGGTTTCCAAGATTTTGATTTTGAATGTCTCATTGTTTTGAAGTAAAGTTCATATTTTATGTACACATTGTATATGTGACAAAAATCCACTGTGGCGACCCACTGTTTTATTTTAATTTGTTGATTAAAGCGGATAAAGAGTTAAGTGGCATTGCATTAAGAGCCAAGAGGTAGTATTCAGAATGAAATGATTGACGTTGTACAAATACGGTACCTATAAATTTGATGTCTTATTCGATATAGTATTTTTATTCTTTTGATATTTCATCAATGTGCATACTGATGTCAGCATTTGCTTTCCATGGCTGCTCATAGTAGACATTTCAAAAATATTTTGAGAATATCCCTTAAAAACAGAAATGAATAGAGTATGAGAATAGACAAGAATAGAATTCATTGTAGAATAATAGTATGTCTGTGTTTGATCAAAGACTATTTTGCATGCCCGGAATATACATCCCTGTTCAAAGGGAGTTACATGTATAATTGTGAAAGCTAAAACAAAAAGTCACAAGAAATTGAGAAATAAACAAAATATTAATTGAGAACTCTAATAGCATTTTACAAATTGTTGTTGTTATAACTTATCTTTCTAACAACTTTCTGTGGGATCCTTAGAAATGCGTCTCATAAATGTACACTCATAGCCTAACAAGAGCCCAGATAAAAATAGAAAAATGTCTATTTGTTAATTGTGTGATACAGACAGGAGATGAGATGGATGAAGAGGAGAGTGAAGAGAAGAGAACCATCGTGCAGTATCACTATCTCTCTTGGCCTGACATGGGTGTACCTGAGTATTATACAACACTCATCAGCTTCACAGACACGGTCAAACAGCATCATACCAAGTTGCAATCCACTGGATACACCGATCCTATGCTGGTTCATTGCAGGTAGGAACAGAAAATATAGGAACAGAATGAGAGAGAATAAGTGTAGATCTGCATTGTATGTTTAAATTGGAGATGTATTAACCCTTACTGTACTGGGCTATTTCGAGCACTCTCTGACTGGGGGGGGGGGGGGGCCTGGGAGGCCCCCCCCTATGATCTCGGCCGTCGAATGTCCGATGAACGCGAAAATTTGCATGTTTGTAGATATTTACGTAAGGAACAAGATGGTATAATTAGTTTTTTCCTAATATGCAAATTTTTGTCGTTATAGCCTAATTAATTATGCAAAATGCTAATTTTATGCATATTACAGAAAACTCCACATATTTGTCCGTAGACTTGTGAAGAATCTTGAAAATGTATTGAATAAATGTTTCCTTCACCTCAAATTCATGAGGTTTCATTATTTTTATGATTTTTGAAAATGCATAGGTTAATTTGCATAAATTATGAATACGCATTCATGAATATCAAATCTGGAAATATATATAGGGAACTAGAATCATTACAAAAATTGTCAGACTCCACTTTTTTAATGTTAATTGAAACCTATTATTCATATGAAACTTCTTTTCTAACACAAAATAGTTATTTGATGTAATTAATAATGATAATTTATGCAAATTTGATGCGATTTTCAACTATTTATTTTCTTGTGTATTTTATTGTTTTTTATTTCTTATTATATCTATTGTTTTATTTCTGATGTATTCTTTTGTTCTGAAATACATCAAGTTACTTTGAGAAACATATAAAAGCAATTGGATATCAATTCATATCTTCACATTTCTGCTTGTACATGAATATATGCAAGTATAGCACTTTTTTGATGACATGCGCATACTAATTGTTATGTAACACCTTACAGGTATATCCGATTTCGACGAAAATGGTATCAAAATGTGCGTAAGACTTGAGGGGAAAAAGTCATGAAATGACAATTCAAAATTCCGAGCGGTTGCGGCGCGATCTCCGAAAATGTCGAGGGGGGGGCCTCCCAGGCCCCCCCCCAGTACAGTAAGGGTTAAGCTAGTTTATGTACTGTATATGAGACAGTAATAAAGAGAACAAATTATGAAGTGAGAAGAGAGAGAAAGAAATTAGAGAGGAGAGACAGAGAGAAAGAGAGAGAGAGAGAGAGAGACAGAGAGAGAAAGAGAGAGAGAGAGACAGACAGACAGAGAGTGAGAGACAGAGAGAGACAGAGAGAGACAGACAGACAGACAGAGATAGAGAAAGAGGGAGAGAGAGAGGGAGAGAGAGAGAGAGAGACAGAGACAGAGAGAGAAGGTGAGGACAAACAGAAGGAGAGATACAGACAGACAGACATACTGCAGACAAATACACAGAGAGGCAGTCACCAGTTGACACATACTAGGAAACGGACATAGATGAGACAGTACAAACATGCACATTAAAACACAGAGAGAGACAGACACTGGTACTGAGATAAAGACAGACAGACAATGCAGACAAAACAAGCACACACACATACAAATACAGAGAGAGAGAGAGAGAGAGAGACGGTCACCAGTTGGCAAATACTTGGAAACAGACACAGAGGAGACAGACAAACAGACATCAAAGAGGACATACAGAGTTGTCACAATCATTATTTCCCTTGCTGTTATCCCCCGTATGCAGTGCTGGAGTAGGGAGGACTGGGACGTTTATCTGTCTCTACAACATGCTGGACATGATGAAGGAGGAAGGCAGAGTAGACATCTTCAGCTTCATCTCTAAGATGAGAGAAAACAGGATCAAGATGGTTCAGACAAAGGTACATATATCTTCAGTTTGGAACCAGAAGGATGTTAACTTACGTAATGAAATGCAGAGCTAATGCCCTTCTGGCTCTTAACAGATGTAATATAGATAACATGCAATTTCTAGTAAGCACATAATATATACATGTAATTGACCCCTGACCCCTGGGGGGGGGGGGTATACCTCAGGGAACATTATACAATATTAGGATGTATATATAACATTCCTTTTACCAAGTCCTTTTGTTAGGTGCGCCTAATCTCCAATTTCACACTTTATATACAATAATGTAAATAATATTTTATCTCTCCAGGAGCAATACATCTTCCTGTACAATGCCTTGCTTGAGGTCTACCTGAGTGGCAAAACTGAGATACCAGTTTCCAAGTTCAGAGAGAAGATGGACACACTGCACAGGGCCAACTCCGTGACAAAGAAGGCAAACATTCACGTTGAATTTAAGGTAAGAGAAAGTCATATACATGTCATACATGTCGACAGGAAGATACCAAGAAACAAGCAAAAATAAAGAGAATGCATGTTATGATGAAGGATATAAAAGATGAGATGAGATAAAAACATTGTTTTGAATTTTCAAGTGATAGTGAAATAAAAAATATTCTGTTGTGTAAAATGGTGATGAATTCATAAGTAACCCCCAAAATGAAGGTAGACATGTATAAAGCGTAATACATGTATGTATTTGATTGTTTTTATTTTTCTAATTTTGAATGAAAGAATCAAAATTGATCCTTGATAAGATGATCATCAACATGACATGGAAAAGATTCTGAAGCTCTGAGCCATGAAAGACATACAGAGTTATGGATTATGAGGAACTGCCAGTTGATTGTACTGTTTTGTATTTGTTTTTTGTATAAGCTTTACAAATATGTGTCATTTATTAATTATAATTGTGATTAAGTCATGATAAAACATTGATAGTTCTCGGTTTTGTTTTTTCTGGGACGCACTGTATAGAAGAGAAAACAAGGTACAGCTAAACCTTTCTATAAAGACCACTCAAAGAAAACAGAAGCACCGGCCTCTTTAGTCAGGTGGCCCTTCTAAAAAATGCTTCTACGAGGCACATTTCTTCCTAGCGGGAAACAATAAAGATGACCATTATAGGCAGGTGGCCTTTTTAGAGAGGTGGCCATAAAGGCAGGTTTGACCTTATACCAAAAGAAGGCAAAGTTTTCTCTTAACTCTTTGCCCGCCACGTTCGGCTAGCGGAACATACAGCGGGCTGCCAACTTCGACTCAAGTCACATTTTATTCACAATACACACGGAACGCATTTAATTCTATTGTACGCACACACACACAATAGTAACGCGTGCTTCGCATTGTATACACATCACACTTCATTGCACCGCTTTCGCAAACATTGTTTACATTGACATTTTCCGAGAAAAATTGAGTTTTTGAAACTGCTTTTGCAAATATTCTGATGAGCTAGGATGGCCCCTATTAGGAGGAGACGGGACTTCTTCACTGCTGATCAGGTACGAGAACTTGTGATGGACCCTGTTCCAACAGCCGACTCTGATTCAGAGGAGAGCGAGACTGACTCTGACGAGGAAGATGAGCCTGGTCCCACACGTACACTTTTGCGTAATCCCACTGTATCTTCTCATCCTCACTTTCTCTTTCTGCCTTTCTTTCTCTGTCTGCCTATCTGTCTTTCTCTCTCCGTGTCTCTTCTTATTTATATCCCTATCTGCCTATCTCTTTCTTCTTCCCCTCCCCCTCTATCTCTATCTTCTCACTCTCACTTTCTGTATCTGCTTATCTCTTTCTTTCTCTCTCTCTCTCTCTCTATCTCTCCCTGTCTCTTGTTATTTCTCTCCCTATCTGCCTGTCTCTTTCTTCCTCCCCTCTCTCTGCCTCTCTCTATCTTGTTCTCACTCTCATTATCTCAACCTGCCTCTGTCTTTCTCTGTCTGCCTATCTGTCTTTCTCTCTCCGTGTCTCTTCTTATTTATATCCCTATCTGCCTGTCTCTTTCTTCTTCCCCTCCCCCTCTATCTCTATCTTCTCACTCTCATTTTCTGTATCTGCTTATATCTCTTTCTTTCTCTCTCTCTCTCTATCTCTCCCTGTCTCTTCTTATTTCTTTCCCAATCTGCCTGTCTCTTCGTTCTTATTCTCTTTCTTTCTCTCTCCCTCTCTCTGTCTACCTCTTGTTATAATGAACATGTCAATATGAGACTACATATGTAGACGAATATATTTTATTCTTATTTATTATACATCAGCTTTCTACAATTCTTAACTTAGTACATGTTTCAAGCATACATTATGTTCATGGCTTGCCTTATTAGTGTAGAAAATCAATAAGTTCTTCTATTCATTTCTTTCAATTCTAATAGCTTGCACAGCCTTGCAAGTAATAATAGAATGCTACACCATCTTACCTACAGACACAACAAAGGTCATCAAAGTACAATCAAGAGACAGGAAGTCTATTCAAAAGTACCCAGGGTCAATTTCAATAGGAGATTAGTTCATTGTCGGCTTACTCTTTATTCAATCCTAAATTACCAGGCTCATTGTGACCTTCAACACATGAATTTGGTATGTAGTGAAAGCTCATGAATACATCTTTTCAATGAACTAACTCAGGACATAAACCTCCATAACAAAGTATTAGATATAAGAGGTATAGAATACCCTTCTAAACGAAAACTTGGATACAAAATGTATAGTTGATAATCTCAAAATTTATGATAATATACATTACAAAAATGATACCATTGGCAAGACTATTAATTTCTATACAATATTGCTACACAAAGTTTTTCATTACAGTACACCAATCAAAAGTTATTGCGAGTTGAATAAGCATAGTCCATGCAGAACCCCTCCTAAGGTGGCACCCTAAAAACAATGTGGCACAGGGGGGATTGTGTACGTGGCGGGCAAAGAGTTAATGCTCTATGTGATGATTTTTTTTTGCCAAGTTTAATTGCAGAGAAGGCTCATAGAAGTAAATTGAAATACAAATTGTGTCTGTGTGAAGCTTTTCCTTCCTGTCTTGTATCCTGTATCCTGTATGAACAGGATTACCCTATCCTGTTTGGAATGTTTGGATAGTTGGAAATTCTGTTTTCTAACTTCCTGACCCAGAAGTTCAGGATTATGTGACCTATAAGCTTAAAACCACCAAGATGTGTTTTGTGTGTCGCTGTGCAATTAAAGGTAAAGACCAGTTATGGTCATGCGATTGCATTGTGAAAGAAACGTTGTGGAATCGATCAGAAAAGGTTGATCATCTAGCATATAAGTATTGGTGTGTACTGCAAGGTTCTGGAATCATCAAAATGATAAGAAATATGGCCCAGTCTTCGTAAAGTTACAAGCACTGTACACAGAAAGATGTATATGGGACTATACGCACACGTGCGCGACATGTGCGTTTATCTCCCACAGACCATGTAGATAAACTAATTTACCAAATATATCAATTAGTAGGCGGTTTCCCGGCAAAATTTTTGTCATCAGGTATTAGTCAAAACATATTCTTTCACATGATTGGTAATAAGAGCTTCCATTTCATTTTTTGAAATTGGGGCGTTTCCAATACTGGTCTTTACCTTTAAGGGGGTAAAGTTCAATTTAACTAAATAAGAAACTTGATGCTTAATGCATTAAGTAATGCAATTGTAACTGCTCTATGTATATGCCAGTTGATAATGTGGAATCAGAAATGTTTCAAAACACAGAAAAAAAGAGAATCAAGCCTGCCATTAAACACTGTACATGTATTAGTGGTTTTGAGGTGATTTGTTTTGCTGTTTAAACCATGTAATTGACTTATAAATGATAATGAGATTAGTCATAAATAGAAAGCAATCTTAATGAAGCTTTATGATTGTGAATGTATAATAAAAACAACTCCTAATTGTTGCACTGTAAACAAATGATCACATTTCATGCCATCACTCTTTGTCTCAGAACCTGCATACACTGACTCCAACACCATCTGCGAATAGCTTTCGAAGCGGAAGAGCTTCCATTAATCGAAAAAAGAATCGCTTTCCTGATATTTTGCCATGTGAGTCATTATAATTACTAGTATGCACATATTTGAGGGCATATACAATCAAACACCTTTCCTGTTTAAATATAGCTAGTTTTGGTTTTACTTTCATATGGTATATTTCCTGGTATTTTCCCATCACTTTATTCAATACAAAGGCAGGTAGTAACTTGACCTTTGGTAATATATCGCAAGAATTGAGTATCCTTGTAAAATGGCATATCAAGAATCAATTGATTTGTAATGCACTCACTTTGGAAATTGTAGGAATTATGAAAGGATTTTAACATCAAACAAAATATGTCTTTTAACAATCAGTACATTTCTTATGTAGACCTTCATAGAATTGAATTCATGCAGTTATTTGAATTTACATTGTTCAGTAATTATTAAGTATATGAATTAAAGCACATTGCTTGTGGGAAAGAGGGAAGGGGGGGGGGGGGGGTTAGGGCGCAAGTCAGTCTGACATGCAAGAACAGGAAAGAGACTAAAGTTTGTAAGATATGCCTTTTCCCTCAAGATCAACCATTGCAAAATTTATCCAACCCATGGACTTTGGTTTGACAGGCAGTTTAATAATAGTGCTTAGATGACACAGTACATTTATCCTCTTCTCTTCTGCAAGTGCTATCATGGTAATTTGAACCTTTTTCTTCTCAGTGGAGCGTAACCGGCCGTATCTTGCATGCCCTGGTTCCATTGATAGCACTGATTACATCAATGCCTCTTTCCTGAATGTGAGTATATACTTAGATAAATGTAGAGTTGGGGTTAGGATTGGAGTGATTAAATCATGGGAGAAAGGGAGAGAGAGAGAGAGAGAGAGAGAGGGAGAGAGAGAGAAAGAGAAAGAGAGGGGGAGAGAGAGAGAGAGAGAGAGAGGTAGGACAGGGGAGTAGGAGGGAGAGAGAGAGAGAGAGAGAGAGAGAGAAAGAGAGAGAGAGAGAAAGAGAGAGAGGTGGGGCCAAGAGAGAGAAAGGGAGAAAGTGGAAAGAGGTAGGACAGGAGAGAGTGACAGACAGAGAGAGAGAAAGATAGAGCAAGAGATACAGAGACAGAGACAAAGAGTGTGCAAAGAGTACCTCAAACGAAGACTACATGAAGTTAGCTTCATCATCATAATGACACACAAAACTTCAAACTTTCACATTAATTAACCGGTTGACAACTGCATTCTCTTGTTTCCCAATGCTTTAGCCAGTAGCTATTGATATAGGCAGTGGGTTACTTGAAGGTCTATTTTTTTCTCTCTCCAGACATTCCTGAAGAAGGATGTTTTCCTGGCTACGCAGTCCCCCTTGCCTAACACAGTGGAAGACATGTGGAGACTTGCCTTTGATTGGAAGTGTCCGGTTATTGTCATGCTAAATGAGTTGGATGAGGTAAGGTCATAGATACATATAACATTATTGCTATTAACCTACTTTCGTAGTGTGCTTGAAATTCCACCCAATAATTTAAATAGCAGCCTTTAATAGCATTTTATGTTTGGATGGTGTGTATATTGCATCTATTTCATCCTGGAAAAGAAATGCTATGATCTTTCACATATTATATATTTATGGCTCAAAATAAAGAATACATTCTCAGAATCTGATGCTTGTAATATTATTTATGACGACCGTTTGTATTTTTGTTTATAGAGAAGAGCTAATCCCACTAAATCTCAAGAAGGGTTTGATTTAGCAGAGAGAGAGAGAGAGAGAGAGAGCCGGAGAAAGAGAGGTAGAAAGAAGGGATGAGATAGAAATAAAGGGAAAGGGAAATAGAGAATCAGTAGGAAACATTGTAAACATAGGGGAAAGAGTGAGCAACAAATTTTTTATAGTTACAATAGAGCATGCAACTAAAGATTGCATGTACTACGAGAAAAGCTTGGATGTTCAGATTTTTCAAAATGGACACATAGTGTAGATAGATAAAATTAGGGGAAAGCAACCTTTAAGTTCATATAGTAACAAGAATGAAGTAAAGTACCCCATCTATGATGAGTGTGATACAGGTCTAATCTCATGCCCACTCGTAATTTATATTCATGAACCATTGTGGAAAGAGTTTTAGAAATGTGTGTATCAAGTTATGTATTGTGTGCCCCAAATAATGGACTCTTGTCATGGCCTTCTGATTTCTTTCTCACCAAAATGAGGTGAGATTCAGAGATTCTATTGAACGATAATGTCGTGCCTAATGGACCCTATCATCGATATGATTCCAAACGTTGGAAACCTTTCAACAGTGACAAATCACATAACAACCATTGTGTTGTTCATACAGAAGTAATCATATGTCTGGGTTAGAATTTAAAAAGCGTCTAGGATAGAATCATGAAGGTTTTGAACTTTGAAGTCTGCAGAAACTGGAAATAAAATACAAATTATTTGGGGACCTCTTTGAGCATGAAGACGAATCAATGTACAACTGAATCATAATCTAGTCTTAAAACTGAGTAGAATTATACCATGTAAGTTATGTTGTTGTCAGAGTGGGGTGTTTATTTATTTTTGCATTTGAGCCCAGACATACTGTGTGTACATATAATCCCCTTAAAAACTTTATCTGAATGGACTTGATTTTGATTGCTATAATTATGTATATAACAAGTCAATCACAAACGTATTATTTTCTCTTCTCAATAACCAATATCAGATGCTAAACCCAGTATAATTCAACAATATAAATCATTTTAAATGTGAATACTATTATAGTGAAACCATCCCATTCAGGATAAGTGACCACTACTGTATTATTAATGTCTACTTCCTGATCTCCATGTACTAGAGCTGGATCATCACGCCAATAGAAACTTATCTGCTACCTATTAAATTTCAATTGTATTTGATTAAATTGGTTTGAGTCAAGTGGCTCTTGATTCTACAAGTACTTAATTGTGGAAATAATCTTCATGATGCTTGGAAGGCTCAACCAAACTATACCGGAAATCAGGCCTGGTTTCATAGAACCTGTTCTCTTTAACAAGTTAATAATAACTGTTAATAATAATAATAGGCATTTATATAGCGCCGTCTATGTAGAAATTCTATTTCGAGGCACACAGATTAATTATTACCTTGGCTTTCCTTTAGCCTAGCTCTAGCATTTCAAGGAATTAATACCTGCCAGGTTATAATCGAACGAAACTGTTGCATTTGATTGGCTGTGAGCAAATCAGTTATAGAAATGTGACACTTGTTACTGATAAAACTGTTTTTGATAGAGGGTCTTTAAAAGTAATGCTATGGTTTCTATGAGTTTCTCATTCGTCCTATAGCGAAGGAAAACCAAACATAAATAGCTGCAATCTAATTTTTCTGACACATGAAATGATCACGATTCTAACAAGTACTTGATATTTTTTCAAACATCTCGAAATAAAATAATGTGGATCTTTGCAATACAGTTAATGCAGAATTGCAGGAAAGATTTAAATACTGTTGAATATTACAGGAGTGTACCTTTAAGATGCATACAAATAGAAAATGGCTTTGATGCAAAATACAAATTCTTTATCTCTGATGAGTTCAGCTTAAAGAACTTTATTCCTTTGTGATATTGTTTAGGAGACTTGTGTACAGTACTGGCCAGAAGAGGGCAGCATTGCACTCGAATCACTGGAGGTGACTGCACTGGACTCAGAGAGTACAATGAACTTTGTGAAAAGGAGATTCACCGTGACGTCAGACTCTGGAGAGGTATGTCTCTCATTTAATGCTACCAGCCATGATTTACCAGTCTGGGAATAATCAAGGGATTTGAGAAACTAAATCGAATTTTGGAAAATCACTCAAAGCAGAACAAACTTGGGAAGTTTATTAGCCCCCAAAGATGTCTTAATCAGTCAAGGTCTTGTATTGCATGTCATGTCCAAGTAGCATGTCCATTGGATAATTGGCTACATTGGCTGTTTAGTGTGTAATAGGCCTTCCTTTGGTGATCCTTTGATTAAGAAAATCCATCAGGGAAAAATAAGGAAAAATTTCAGGGAAGTTTATTTTCATGACATGCCAGGAATCCTGGAGGCAAATTTTTCAATTTACTGATTACAAACAATTCTTAGCCATTTATCAATGATGGCTGTGTTGGCGGCACTCTTCTTTCACAATATTGTGCACTCAGTGTTGTAACGTACTGACATTAAGCATAAGAGGACCACTTGCTGAATTCATGAAATTTTCTTATTTGACAGTATGTGTTTGTCCTTTCAGAGCATGACTGTTGAACAGTTTGAGATGCTAGGATGGGGTATGTCACACAACAAACCAGACTCTCCCGTATCATTGCTGGGTCTCATTGAAGCAGTACAGGGCAGCATCAAGACGGCCACGTGCAAGGGACCAGCCATTGTTCATTGCGTGTAAGTCTACCTCAACACATTTGACTCACATACGTATGACTGTCTACTATTATAAATGATAATAATACGTTACATCTATATATATATATATACATGTAGCACAATACATACTACATTTGAATGTGCTTTACAAGTAAAGTAAATATAATAACAGATACTATGATATAAAAATACTTTATACATATAGAAAATACCTGATGTAAATTCTATAATTTAGGAAATTACCTTACGAGGAATTACATTACACACACAATTACAAGACAGAGAATGACATTACAGTTAAAATATACTACATTATAGTATGGCTATATGTATAGTTCAGTATAGTAAGATAAGACTGTTCCCTCTTGAAGTCTGATTGAAGGGGAAGGGGTAGTGTGAAGCATGATGAAATGTTAAGCTGAAAGCGCTGCAGTATATACTGTATGGGTTGGATTTGAACGAAATGAAGTGTTTATACAACATAGTCCCAGTTATGTTTTGGATATTAGTCATGAAAAGGAAATGAATGAAGTAAGATATCATGCTGGCTGGAACATGAAGGAAAGGGGTGCAATAGACTAGTTTACTGACATATTCAAATTGTATAAATTCTGTTAAAGAATTTTTTTTCTGTACAACCCGAAAGCTTGCCTGAGGCTTTGCCCCGGCATAGCAACAAGCAATGTATGCAGACTGGGTTCCCTGTCACTACCGGTAGGTCTCCAGGAAATTAACATCCATAAATTTGAATATATTAGTTAACCGGTCCATGGACAAGATGTACGAGAGCTGTGACTAATGAGGGCAGTGTGAAAATGCACAAAATAGGAAAACATGGTGAAAGTCCATTGATATGGATACCAGGAGCTAGTAACGACCGATTGGCATTGTCGGTCACGATTATGATGGGAATGTGTTAAAAGCCTGTGAATCCCCGAAAGTTAAACAAATTTGCAAATAAACTACAGTAACCAAGAATTTAATATGTAGAAATACCAACATTGGAAACTAAGTTTTGTCATCATCGTTGAATTAATATTGACTGCAGTGTTTTTAAGGTTGGTCTCTGTCTTCTTGTTGAGATTGTGATCAACACAATTTGCATCCTTCTCCCAAGGTTAATATATGTTAGTCATGAATGCTAACACAACAGCAACCTTCAACTACATGTACAGGGAATATATCATTCAATATGTTTGAAACTTTACTAATGAGCAATAATATTTTCCCCTTCAGCAAATAGAAAAGTAGTAATTTTATTTACTTGCCCAATGTTTACATTGCTGATATGCTCATGGCTTTGTCCTTGCTAGCCATATATGTACATGTAGTATTACGTGAACATGTATTTAGAGGCATTACTAATTAACAAACATTATCTTCCCTTTTAGCAAATATTGACATACATTTATTTTATTTACTCTCCAAATATTGACATTGTTGAGGTGCTTTTGGCATTTTCTATGCTTGTCATAAATTCTACAACATCCTTCCTTGTTTTAAAGGTACATGTACCGTACAGTGTATGTCCCATTAGCTGGCCCCCAAAATGGAAAGGTTACTTTCCACCGGCATTTGAAAGAAATACTAATTTAGAACTTCCCTCAAAACAAAAAGGCTTGAAAATGTCTAGATTATACATGGATTCATTTTTGTTGGAGATAGTAAATGCTACAGCTGACTTGAGATGCCGCTAGAGGGGATATTAGTACAATATGGTTTAAATATAAATTTTGAATCACTTCAACCTAACACCATGGATACTGGATCTTCTCATTGCCATAGACTTAAAGGGGAAGTCCACCCTGATCAATAAGTTTGGTTTAATACAAGGAGAAAAATGATAACTTTTCATTAAATATTTCAAATCTGTGAGTCAAATTAGCAACGTGGTCTCTAAATATGATGTCACCCCCTCACATTTCATCTTTTGTTGAATGCAAGAAATGTCATTAAATTACATTTTGATCAAAAGATATATTTTCTTCATGCCTATCTTGATCATATATAACAAATAGCATGTTCTTTCATGCACCACAATATAAGAAAGGTATACTATTCCATTAGCTTTAAAAGAAATGGAGATTTTGGGTCAGTCGTGCATTCAGATCAGTGGTGAATTGTGAGGGGATGACATCACAATTTCCGACGGCATTGCCAATTTGTCTCCATGATTATAAGATTCCATGACTTTCATGATTTTGAAAGAGTTCAAAACTTTCTTATTCGTCATCAGATTTTTCTCAAACTCTCACTGAATTGTACCTCTAATTATTCTGCTTCTATTAAAACCAATTTAATATCAGGGTGGACTTGCCCTTTAATACAGGAGCCAGTTGGTTGCCGTAGGCAATGGGTTAAGATTCTTCACAATGTTCTTCACAATGTTCTCTTGCTTTACCCTATAGAAATGGGATTGGTCGTAGCGGTGTGTTCTGTGCCTTGTGGTCCGTTATGGAGAAGCTGAGAAAAGACAATACAATCGACATCTTCCAGGCAGTCAAGAGGCTTAGATCAAGCAGACCTAACATGGTCGAAACCTTGGTAAGAATTCATTGAAATATATATATATTTTTTTATTGTTCCACATTTAAAAAAAATACAGACATACTTATAAAATATGAAATTATACAATACATGTAGTATAAATGAGCACGTCTCAAAGATTCTCAATTCATAGACAAGATTAAGTAGAATATGAGGAACCTATTATTGATTTATTTCTGAAGTTGAGTGAAACATTTAGACACAAGACTTGTGGTAACAATCAGAAAGCACAATATTTAGTCCAAATTTGTTTTGTTCATTATGTGTACCATTTGATTCAACCTCCCTGCAAGATCACTGATAGCTCTCAATTAACATAAGAAAAAGATGATCATGGGGGACCAAGAGACACCGATTAGGCATTGTTTGCTATATAGAGGGTGCAAGTAGCTATAAGTAGTGCAGTGAGGCTTTAAGATAATAGCAATTTTGCACTTCATTCTGCCATTGTTTGCAGCATAACTTCCAGGAGAGGTGCAATAGTGTGAAAGGAGGTGCAATAGTGTGAAAGGAGGAGAAAGAACAAAAATTGATGTAGTACGTTTGGGGGTTTGAAACAGATAAATCAACCCCACAGTAATAGAGATAATGGTCATTTGTACTCTGCTCTCGACAAGGAAGTACCGTACATGTAGTCATAGAGTTTATTTAAGTTATGACGATTTGATCGAGTTCGACCTCCAGAGAACCCAAGTTCCTTCCTACTTCCTGGTATTAGCAATGGCTGGTATAGCCATCAATACATAGTATTCTTTTGGCAAAAAATTACTAGAAAACATGTGGAAACAGTCTTAAAATAAATCATGTTTCTACATGTATGTAATGATGGAAAATTGGAACTCGCAGTTGACAATGTTTCCATTCCATGTTCTGTGTCTTTTGATTTACATGAATGCATTCCTACCATTTCAAGTATAAAGATCATACAAATTATGAGGAGAGCACATCATATTGATGTCTACTGTGGCATGCATGCTGCTACATGTCTGTACAGGTGGCACCATGGGCATACCTGCCAACCACCCCGATTTAGGCGGAGTTCCTCCGCATTTTTCATACCAACTCCGAATTCCGAGTGCATGCCTCAAAACTCCGATTTTAAATTTTTTTTTTTTTTTTTGTTTTTTTTTTTTTTTAAATTTTTTTTAATTTTTTTTTTTTTTTTTTTTTTTTTTTTTTTTTAGAGTGTAATGCACTTGGAGAGTATATAACTATTATGTTTGTATTTTGAAATGTAAAGCGCCTTGAGCATGTTCATGTAAAGGCACTCAATAAATACCAATATGTATGTATGTATGTATAAGACTAAAGCATAACACAGCACTGATAACCAGATCACGCCGACATCCGCGCTCGCGCTCATAGAAGATATACACAGCGGCATGGAAAAAAAAAAATAGACCCTAAAGTCCTGTGTACCCCCCCCCCCCCCCCCCCCCCCCCCCCCACTACCCCAATCCTTCGGTGGTTCGCGACCTCGTAGTCCATCCAGAAAAATTTACTCCTAATTTCTCTTGTCTCAGGTTGGCAGGTATGCATGGGGCCTCTTTCCCTTCAAACCATCTAAATCACAAAAAGGGGAAACAAAAAGAAAGGGAGGGGGACATTATGTAATTGTTTATCACTGTATTTTGTTTGTTATAGCGCTTAGAGACTTCGGAAGTAAGGGCTTTATAAAACACCGTTTTTATTATTATTATTATGAAATAATAAGAATTATGAAATACCCCTTTCCTCTAAATCATAGTAAGGCTTTTGCTCCTACATGTGAGAGAAACCATGTTCTTGCTCTCATCTGATATAAATGTTATATTAACACCTTGATTGCTTTCTTCACCTCACTACGCTCTCGCTCATTTGCCACATATGTGATTTTGTACAAACAATAGGCACCAATTGATTGACAACTGCTTTCTGCAACCCAATGGCTTCGCAAACATACCCATTTCTAGTTTTGATTAGCTCCATGACAACCATTTTATCATCAGTATAGGTTAATCATACCCTGGAAACAGTTATATTATTTCGAAGCATTCAGTATATCTACCCAATGATAAAGGCAATGTGTCAAGATTATTTGAATGGCATATACAAGTTTGAGCAAGATGTTATATTTATTTTTATGTTATTTTTGTATAAATTGTTTGCCTCCATCAGGATCAGTACCAGCTTTGCTACGATGTCATGAATCAACATCTGCATCAGTTTGAAGAATATGCCAATCTGGACATCCTGTAAATTAAAGAATCAATGTCATTCCATTAGACAAAGTTCCTGTGCAGTGAAATCTTGTGATTCAGTGAGCCATCTCAGACCCATTCATTGGACACACCTCATCAGATAAAAGACATCTGATCAAATATTTATCCTTTTTATCTGCAAGACAACTCTGTATCTTTGATTGGAAAAGTCTCATGTAACCCCCAAAATGGATTTTGCATTATTATCCTATATATTAACTAAATAACTCTGTAAAATCAGACAAATACATGTAGCAAAAGACATAAGATACGAAATTGTTATCTTGAAATTGACGAAGCAACTCTGTCTCTGAATTTAGACAGATTTCATTTAATAGAGCTTGGACAGTGTCTATATGGAAGGAATAGTACTTGATGATAGTTTTGGAAATAAAAATGGGAAATTATAAAGTGCAATTATTTGGAAATGCTAAGGGTTGATTATATCAACACATTCCAACTCATTTATTCTGCTTGGAAAGTAAGTAAACTCTCATGACAAAATCTCATTGAAAATCAATGAAGACAAAGACAAAGACAAAATGATGAATATGAAGGACAGAGAGAGAGAGAGAGAGAGAGAGAGAGTGAGAGGGGGAGGAAATATAATGCCTCTAGCAATAATTAAATATATTTGTTACCTTTAATGCATTTTATTTTTTTTACTAGTTTATATGAATCATAGGTATGAACTATGAAAGCCATGTATACATTTTGTATTTAACACTTGTATTATAATATAATGAAAGCATGATGCTATCGGAATGTTTGTTCATCTGCTAAAACCAAGAAATTGTCTAATTCTTATTTGTTTCCTCTTAATTATAAATTGCTATAACTTGTCATTTTTGATTATTGACAAGAAAGTAATACGATTATGATAAACTGTATGCAATATCAATGTGTCCTTGTTTCCCTCCCTTTCTCCTCTCTCCCTGCTCTCTTCCTCCCCTCCTGCCTCCCTCCCCTACTCCTTCCCCATCCCTCCCCCTTCTCCTCTTCCTGCTCTCTTCCTCCCCTCCTGCCTCCCTCCCCTACTCCTTCCCCATCCCTCCCACTTCCCCCTTCCTCTTCCTCCCCTCCTGCCTCCCTCCCCTACTTCTTCCCCATCCCTTCCCCTACTCCTTCCCCATCCCTCCCCCTTCTCCTCTTCCTGCTCTCTTCCTCCCCTCCTGCCTCCCTCCCCTACTCCTTCCCCATCCCTCCCACTTCCCCCTTCCTCTTCCTCCCCTCCTGCCTCCCTCCCCTACTTCTTCCCCATCCCTCCCCCTTCTCCTCTTCCTGCTCTCTTCCTCCCCTCCTGCCTCCCTCCCCTACTCCTTCCCCATCCCTCCCCCTTCCCCTCTTCCTCTTCCTCCCCTCCTGCCTCCCTCCCCTACTTCTTCCCCATCCCTCCCCCTTCCCCTCTTCCTCTTCCTTCTCCCTCCCTCTTCCCTTCATATTCCCTCCACCCCCTAATTTTTTAAAGGTTGATTTTGTACATTCTACCTATAAACAAATCAGTTTTTCAGGTGATTGGTACACTTTCAATGTTGTATGCTTGGTTTCCGTATTTTGTAATTGTGGCCATATAATGTAGATATCAGTACTACCATATATATTTCTGTCAGGTAAGTTGCTGAAAAATCGTGATACTATCAATTGTAATAATTTTGTTATGGGATTGTTTGTGTACTTATTTTAGAATTGCATTTCGCAGAAGTCAAGGTTACATGTAAAGTACTGTAGTTATATTTTTATAATATAACGTTCAAAGGTATATTTACTTTCTTTGTATTTAGACTGGTATGGATTTTACATGTATATTTTGTTGTTTATAAAAATGGTGAAGCAAATCTATCGTATATTCCTAATTTTTTATAAGGGTAATTTTACTCAACTTGCATAAGAATTTCTAATATAGTACTATTGATATATTTTGTACTACATACCTTCTTGAATAAGTATTTTTGAAATAAATGTGCCTTAAAGTTGGACTGGGTCTTGCACACGTTTGTAAATACAATGATGCTTGTATATGTTTTTTAAAGACAATCAATAGTGTTAATATCATAATTAGGCATTATTACTTGAGTTGTTACATTGAATAACCAGGAAAATGCCATTTATTTGTATGTACAATGAATATGTTTTTAACTTTGCCAAGAAAAACGTATCAGTGGTGACACAGTTGTCGAGTGAGAGTTTTGATAACAAAGAATGTATGTAATGTTGTCAGTCACCAGGGTTAGCCTTGAGTTTTATGACCATTAGACCTTATGTAATGCTACGCTTTTCCTTCACCCGAAGCTCTACGAGCGATAAGGGGGTAATTCTTGACGGGCCAACAGGTTTGCTGTGTGCAGATTTGTACTCCCATTAATGGTATTTCCACCAAGTCTGGTGTCAGCGAATTACATGTATGGCCTTCTGCCCATGGAAACTGTCGATCCAGTCCCTTTAAGATGATATACCATGTAGTTAGATTACAATGTGTATGTAACTTTAATAAAGCAAAATACTCTGTTGAAATATCTTGACTTTCTTCATACAATTTGAAATCAACCTTAATTACAGGAAGAAAAACAAGAGTATATATGAAGCCAAAAATAACAAACATAGCATTTAAAAATTGGCAGTATGAAGAGCACTTAAAAGGGTCATTGTGTTAACAATGCCTAAGTGATGTGGATGGCATTCATTACACTAATATAAAATGACATTGCTTTTGGATTTCAGCCATATAACTACATTGTAAGGCTTCGTTCACATTTAACTTTGTAAACCTGTTTTTTGTTTAATGCTAATGAATGGAAACTGCACAAAACTATGTTTAGCCATGTCATATCTGAACAAGCCTTTAGTGTGCATTCTAATGTTTCAACATACTTTTTGGTACATTTGTATTTCAGTGTTGTAGCTTGTGTTAAAGCTTTTACCTCATGAAGGGAATCATACATGTTATAATCGCTGTGTATGCTACTTTATTCTATTCTATTCTATTCTTGTGCTAGTGGCCTTAGTTTTGTATCTAATAGAAATTCGTTCTTTTCATCAGTTATTTGAAGCCTGAAATATGGTATAAATATTTATAAATATAAAAGTGATACAAAACGTTTTTGTAAGGGTTGTTGGTTGATGTAACATGTTTTACTTGTAAATCTATACGTGGTCAGGTACTTACATCTTTTTAAGTGGCAACTAAAATTGTTTGAAGTGGCAACCAAAGTGTTTGAAGTGGCACAAAATCAATGTGTTCTGATTGGCACAAAATCAATCTCTCAAAATGATAAAATATGATAATTGGAAAGTTGCAATCAAAACTTATCTTGCCATTCTTTAGTATTAAATGATTTGATTGAATCTTAGCCGAAAAATAAGTTATAATGTAAATGGAAGAAGAAGGTGAAGAAGAAGAAGTGTTAAATTCAGTATAGGCTTCAAGACTTTCGTTTTGTCTTGAAAATGTATTTCATCTTGATATCTACTTAAAACTGGAATGTAGTTATACGGAAATGGCTGTGAAAATGTAGTTTGATAGGCTAGACAACAGGCTACACATTTTCATATTAACATGTATTTGTTCATTTCTGTTACAGAAAAGAGTGTTGTATGATTAAATGTTGAAGTGTATTAAGGTTCTGTAATAAAACGTACAATGTTTATCTGGATCAAAGAGTATATTTTGAAATAAATAAATTTACCAGATCATACCGCTCGCAAATACTTTCAAAAACCAATATAATGCAACTTCGCTCCTTGTTGAATAAACATGCATAATAGAGTATATAATTGCCTTTTATAGTTCTAAGACCCTAGGTTAAACGGGTTTTAGCATTGTAGACAGATCTTTATTAAAGTACTATTTTGAAAACAAAGTACAACAACTGTCTTGCATGCGTTCTGTTTCCATTCATTTTTAGATACATTCATGATTACCTGTGATGATGGAATGACGTTTACATCATCAGTGATTAAAAACTTTTAGGTACCTTACTTTTGATGGATTTAAAGGTACTATGTCTCATTTGCAGCCAACATCGAATTCTGTAGAACTTTGTAGGAATTATGAATATGTCACGTATGTGCTATATGTGAAATTCAAACGTTAGCAGTGTCCTATTATATTATTCAAATTATCCAAGGAAACCCGTTTACGTTCTAGACTATCAGACACTATTGAGTGACTGACCGACTTCTATTTTTCTTTAGTAATAACATACATAAAATGAGCTGCAAAGGTACATGAGCATTTGTCTACATCAATAATCCACTTCTTGAAATGACTAAAATTAAACTGATTAAATCTCTGTGCAGCACACAACCTTTTTTAAATGCGTACGTCCCACTTCCACAATTTGTCTTTTCCAGACTGTTTAACTGAGCCAGGCTGTAGACATTGGTAGGCTACCCCTGAATGGAGGTATAGTAAAGCGAATACCTAGGTCTAATATGAAGGGAAATACACAATTTTTTTATTATTTTTAATACCAGATGTTATTTGCTGTTTGAATTTGTTATCTTCATAGCCTTTACACATTTATGAAAGAGCAGCTGCATTTTTATTATAATGAAGTTCGGTTTAAAAGGGCCAGCAAAAATAGTTGACAGCTTTAACATGAATAAACTCAAATTATTCTTCCGAAATATTTTCTATTGACCAGGAATTTCAAATTGTCATCTGGATGATAAACTGTGTATCTTTCTTTCTCATCATACAGTTACTCCAAAGAAGGAGCGAGTGTGAGAGAGAGAGGGGGAGATATACAGCGAGAATGACAGGGAGAAACAGAGAGAGAGAGAGAGAGAGAGAGAAAGAGAGAAATGAATATACACGGAGAGAATGAGAGAAACAGAGAGAGAGAGAGAGAGAGAGGGGGGGGGGGACGAAAGAAGTTAAAAGGATCTATCTATCTAAAGGTTAAATTGAGTATGAAATCACACAGTTCATAGAAAGGAAGTGTATTGAATATCAATCAAGCGATCCCAAATAATCGGGTCAACTTGATTTCTGTGAAAGAAATTGAAACAAGCATTATTCGTGTATGCAATGGATTTTTCTCTTTCAAACAGTTTCGTCGAGGTGCACTCAGTCGTCTTGTTTTGACATAAAAATGTTGCACTGGTATACAGTGCATATATATATATATATATATATATATATATATATATATATATATATAGTTGGTGATAATGGTCAAATTTGAATAATTGTCATATAACACTGAATTCAACAACAACATCAGCAACAACAATTTGCATTCCCACACACAAAAGTACTGAAAACGTTTAAAGGGAAAGTCTGCCCTGATAGTTAGTTAGTTTGAATAAAAGCGGAAATATGAGAAAAACACATTAGTGACAGTTTGGCCAATATCCGATTAAAAATAGGAAAGTTGTGAGTTGTCTTCAGTGAAGCACAAACTGGCAACGTTATACTGTGACGTATTTTATGAGTTCCTCTTGAAACTGCTCTATACAGGTAATTCATTTTATTAGTCATTGATGATGGAATAGATTAGGTTCATTCAGGGGTTTTATAAAACATGTTTGCAATAATGATATTCGAGGTGAATATATGATCTCAAACTTCCTAAAGATATATTTTTTTTAAAGTACATGCAAAAAAAGAAAAGAAAAATTATTGCTCACTAACTCCCTCCCACCCCCTCGCTTTTCAAAGTATAACTTTCAGATTTGAATAGGGGGAACCATCGGAGGTGAAGAGGGCACTTATCTGAATTGAAAAGGAGTAACTTCTAGTACCTGAAAAGGGCAATTTACCAGAGATAAAAAAAGGGGCACCGATAAGAATGAAAAGGGCACATGTGAAAATAAAAGGTGAGCTTATCCGAGTTTAAAAGGGGTAGTTATTAATAGGGAAAGGGGCACTTCTTACAAAGGAAAAAGGGCATTTGTCAATGTAAAAGGGGAACCTCTAAGATTTGAGTAGGGCACTTCTCGTACCTGTAAAGGGGCACTTACTGGAGATTAAAAAGGGCACTTATG